AAGAATGACATGTGAAGCATCTTTGAGGGCTACTGACACAGCGCACCGCCATCTTGGTTCAGTAAGCCAGGATGGAAGATGATTTACTGCATGAAAACCTTGAGGGCCCGCCTGTGCCTGGTCCTTCACGCAGACGCCGGCCTCCACAGCTTACCTCGAGTGAGTTAGGGTCCTATACAATTCTAGCAAACTGAAGACAAACCTTCGATCTTCTAAAATGTAGCCTATATATGGCACACTGGTAGATTTTCTGTGACAGTGCGCACACCACGAGGAGCACATACCCTCACACACATCTATAGCTCATGGCAGCTGTTGTGGCCCGGATGTGGTGCAGTGTCACATGAAGTTTTGTAGTGACTTGATAGAACTTGACACGGTTGCACTCTGTATCACAGTCAGTGCAGTTGTTGCGTTTTGTGGTTTGTCATGATCCTCACACAGATGGATAGATGGAGCCCTTAGAACAACCTTTTTGTGATTGTTTGACATATCGCACTGATAACAGCTCCTTCTGGGCTCATGGGAAACTTCTGTGACCAGTGTGGGCACTTGAGTGGTTCCCAATAACACAGGGTTATATTTTGACACTGAACTGTTATTACTAACTTTGACTTATGCAACAACATTGGGAAGAGAATACAGACTACGCTACAAACCGGACTCCATTCTTCTTTGGCTCCAAACCGGTCAGACTACTCTGGTCCTAGTCTACTTGCGGGGTGCTTTATATGTTTTGAAACCTGTTCCATTTCAAAACTGAAAGCTATATCTTTCATAATTATCTTTTCTACACAAAGCCATCATTTCTAGTTTTAAAACTGGTGGGTAATATTTTAGACTCGAGCTGCCTTTAAGTTAGCATAGTTTGGAGATCTACCAGTGGATTTATCTTACTGCAGAAGGGCTGAGTGTGGGCGACAATGTTGTAAGACATTCTTAGAGCACATTTATACAAATCTGATCAAACTGGGCCCAGTTTAGTATCAAAAGTTGAAACATTGTACCATTCTCGCAGCCGGCTCTGTCCTTTTTGTCAACGGAATAAAAAATCAGAGGAATGACCGGGAGGGCTGAGCTCGCACTCAGTGTGACACAGTTTGACTTTGTTGTTTCGAACCCTGTACCAATTGGTTACGTTCATAATGCAATCTAATTATGCTTGAATATGGTTGAATTGGGCTGAGACCTATCTCTCTAGCAGGATTCAAGAGCCAAATCTCAGCGCTGATCAGGATTCGATTCAGGATTCGATTAGTTCATGTGTCACCAAGCAAACGCCTTGTGAATGGGCCCTTATTGGGAAGATCCTCCACAAATGGTTATATACTTGTAAACTGTGTTTATCTTTGGAACAATGGAGACAAAATGTGAGCAGTTTGACCTGTCTGACCTCCTGTTTAGAGCCTCGGTGCTGCAAGTGGCCCCAGCTCAATCCGCAGCTGCCAGATGCACTCCAGCATCTGTCACTCCAGCTCTGATCCTCCCTCACATCTGCACCTTGTAATTCCCTGCCACTACACCCTGCCACTGGAGACGTGGGGGGTCAGGGCTTCAGATTGGGTGCCACGCTTAAAATTCGACGGCAACGAAAGCTGATAAGGCTTCTGTCGCTAAATGTTTAGAGGGAAAGCGGGAAAAAGTGTCACACCGGGTCGTGATTGAGCAATGTCGTAAGTGGAGACAGATTGTATTATCAAGCCCAGCCTTGGGAGTGGAGAGTGGAGAGGACATGGTGGCTTTGTTCTGGTGTTGGAGCCAGCACTTGAATATAATTATGTTGTTATTCCAGGCCCTCCCTAACATCTTCCATTGGATATATATTAGTTATACCAAGATGGAAAGAACATGTAATGGCATGCAAAGATATTAAACCAAGCTTCCTCTTCTGTAGTTCAGTGTTGACAGTAAATTCCATCATGTTGAGCAATTAACTTATCCCTGATTTACAGTTGTCTGTGCAACAATGAAAACTTTTTTATCTATTTCCAACTATTTTGATAAGAGATAGAGCAGTAATTACATTTATACATTTAATTTATGTTTTATCAATTGCAATCTTTTTTCTGGAAATGGAAACGTTCTCCCATAATTCGAATGTCCTCCTTGTAGCCAGCTCCTGATTTGTGTTTCTAATGAAAAAAAAATTGATGAAAGATTTTTTTCCTTTGACACACTGATGCAGAAGTGACATATCGTATCATTTTCAGCATTTCAATTATGATCCCACAGCAAAATCAATGAAATCATGGTTCCTACTGTACTTTATACAACTTACAAATCAGATGAACCGTTGAAAAGACAAGTCCAATTAATCCTCAATCACTACCAGGAACAGCCTATCCTCTTTGTTTTATTTTGCTTGTATCCCGCCCTTTTCCCACTACTCCGGTTTGCCCAGAAAGTCGTGTTCAAGGCGTCTCTGGGGCAGCTGCTGGTGAAACTTGCACTAGTCCATCAAGAAAAACCAAGAGCCTTCGATCAATGAGGTCACTGTCTGGTCCGTAAAGTTGGAGAGAGGGGGAAAGGTGAAGTACCGTGCCCCTCTCTCATGACATGCTCAGGCTGAGACTGAGCTGATGGAGCCTCTGCTGTATTAACCTCCAGCGCTCACGGCCGCACTAGGTCACAAGACCAGAGAAATGAATGCGCTTTTTGTCACACCAGTTTCCCCGGGTAAATCTTGGGTTATAAATAGTGTGATCCATGTGATTTGACAGAAGTTCATATTCTCACAGGAATAGATTACTCTTACTTCTTCCATACTTGTATCGGTTTACAACAAAGGGCAAGCAAGCACACTATGGTAGAGCGTGGTTGTTGTTCAGACACTTTAAAACTCAAAGAAACAACTGCTCCAGAGATTGACAGTGCTTTCAGGAGATTTCGGAATCCGAATTTTGCAAGATCAATCTTTAGTTATTGAAATGCAAGCATGACGCACTGTAGAAGGTGGACGGCACCAGTGGATGGATGAATGGATCAGAGGAACCTCGACTGCATCATATCAAAGTAGCGTCATATCAAAGGCAGTAGTGCACATATGAAATCACTCATTCATTCAATCTCTGCACCAAACCTCCATTATGCAATAAACAGCTCGGCAAAAAAGGCACACGATTCCAGTTCCTTTTGCCTTTTGGGTTAGAGCAACCATATTAAAAAGCTCAATTTGGTTATGAACAGCAAAACACAGTTGTTCTAGGCATAGGCGTGGCACTGGAAAAACATAATGAGTAATTTATAGTGTCAAGAGTCTATGCTAACTACTAGCTCCAGGTTGTAAGCATTGCATTGACTCACCAGATCCCTCTGGATTGAAGCAGTGTTGACAATGTGTGAGGAACAATGGTAGGAGTAGTTAAGAGCATATCATCATGAATAAACGTGCAAAAGTAGTGGTACCGGCTTCACACAGACAGACTGAGGCAAGTAGTGTGCTGGTTTTTAGCAGGAAATGTTTACGTGGGAGTTATGGGAGTACTCTGTTACTCGTCTTAATTCTCATTATAACATGGTCTCCGTTCAGCAGTAAGCTTTGAGCCCCAACCTTGATATCATCAGTGATCACGATTTTAAGTGTGATAAGTAGATACATGTTGTTTAAATCCAGAATCCATCAACTTTGGCATTGATCTAAAACCTAAGTCTGTTTTATCTTTTTTGTGATTTGAAGCGGGTGATTCTTTTATCTCTCCTCGGCTTGACCACTGTACTGCCTAAGCGGCTCCCTTCTTAAGCTTAGTCGGTTCAAAACTCTTCAGGTCTCTTAACAGATTATGGCAGCCCTTTTTAACTGTATATTCATTGTTAATATCATTCTTAATTTCAACAAATTAGATCAATCTTCAGAGGAGTTTTGGTACCAGGGGTTTGTGTAATTCTGCATCCAAGACAATTCTGGTTGTATATAGGGTGTTATCAGTCATGGTAGGATGAAAAATGTCACACAGCTGTATAGATAATGGGTGAAAAATGTGTATTCTTTAAAATTGCTTTACTTTTTATAAATGTTTGTTTTTGTATACATGCATAGGCCGAACTTGTTGACTTGTGACTTTCTGCAATACAATGGACAATAGTTGGACAGCTGCTGAGAAAACGTCCCTTTGCCAATTCCTGAAAACCTGCACCTGGGCCCGCTTTTGCTCTATCTGTAGAAAGCTCAGTAAAAACAGCATGGCTTATAATTTTAGTTTATTGTGGTGGCTGTCTTTGAATGATGCGTGTAATAACAAAGTCTCATTTTCTTGTGCCTAGGTCGGTGGAGGAGTTTTTAAGCCCCCGGAGTTCTCTGCTTTGATGCAGAACAGGTACAGTTGCGGTATCTTCTCCCACACATAGTTTCAAAATGGAGCTTTAAAGCATGTTTAAATGAATTGGTGCGTAAAAATCTCTGCACACAGGCTTGCAGACAGGGGACACAGAAACAAATACTCCAGAAGAAAAGGCTCTAAATCTTGATGAAGTGGCATCATTTTTGCTTCTACCAAAATAATGTTACAACTCACTATTTAGAGCTGCAGCTTATAGTGAAAGATATTCAAGATTCAAGTTAATATTATGTAAAGGCTCTACTGTATATTGAATGTGAATTACTAATATGATTTTATATGAATACTGGCTTATTAAAACTGGTTCAAATAAATGGGTAGTCTTATCTTGAACACATTTTGTCCAAGTAGGAAGTGTCAGACTCAACATGGAGTCTTTTCTAATTGAAATGTGTTTTTATTGTTTTCATACTGAGAGCTGATTATGGCTAGTTCAACCTTTTCACTTTTCTGTCTGAAAACAACTAATCTTAAGATGTGAAGGAGGCTGAAAAATACATGTATGTTAAAACTAAACTGTTGAATTTTATTACATCTTTAATCATAGTTTGATTGTGGCCAGTTGTAAAAATAGACACATAAAATGCATAGGCATGTTTTAATTGAATTACCGTGCATATATAGAATTAGTTTGAACCAGTTCCTTGTCTCTGCTCCCAGTCCAAGATGACGGAAGAGGTGATTGTAATCGCCAAGTTCGACTACATGGCCCAGCAGGACCAGGAGCTGGACATTAAGAAGAACGAGCGCCTCTGGCTTCTGGACGACTCCAAGTCCTGGTGGATGGTCCGAAACGCCACCAACAAAACCGGCTTTGTGCCCTCCAACTACGTGGAGAGGAAAAACAGCGCCAGGAAAGCCTCGATCGTCAAAAATCTGAAAGATACACTCGGTAAGTGCAAGCAGCCGGTTAAGTTGAGAATGTGATGCCTTTTATTGTTTGGCAGCCATTTCTTTCAATCAATAACTATATATTGATGTCTAATTCAAAGTTCAAGAGATTAATGGAACATGAGCTTTAGATAGTTGCGCAAAGCTTTCAGTTGCTTTTAGTCCACTGCAAGTTTTCCTCTTTAAACAGGAGAGGGATGGTAAGTGCCGATGCCTTTAGTTCATCCATTTGGTATGTGTGCAGTCCAAGCGGAGGATTTCCCTGTGACCTTTTCGTTAACTACTCTTAATACAATGTTCGCTCTGCTGTTGGCATCGCGGCAATATTCCTAAGCTGAGCTGTGTGCCAGGAGCGCTTTGAGCCAGGCGTAGCTCGCTGTATGAAAGCCAACGTTGCCATTTGTCTTTGCTTGATTCTTTCTGGTGACAGATATTTAGCATCATTTGGGAGACTCACTCTGACCACTGGCATCCCAGAAACATGGTGAGATCCTACCACACATTCACTTGGCTTGAGTTCACTTTGTCAAATGAAAAAGTGTCCAGCTTGGCCAAAATATTTTTGAAATATTGTAGTTCTTGTTTACTCAGCGTTCTCTTGGTGGTTGGTAGGAACTGCCCTGTGATACATGACGTACCTGCAGCAAATCATGTCTTTATGAATTTAAGAGCTCCTTTTGGAACACATCTGCACTGGGGCGAAAAACACTTTTTCCTGAACTGCATGGAAACAGTTCAGGAAATCGGGTATCGGCCAATTGCAGAACAGAAATGTCCCATGCTTCTCCCAGTTAACTTTTAGTTTTCAATGTAGAAGTCCTACAAGGGTTGCTTGAGATATCAATAATCTACTTTAATATTATAAAAAGGCAATATGGAAAATTTCAGGTAGAAGGCTTCAACATGTCCCAGTTTTCCCCTGGAATGTTCCAGAGTATGCAGCATTTATCTCTGGTTCATTACATTGTCATTGCTGAAATATGTTAAAGCATGCATTCTGTGTGTATTTGGTGGCGCCACTGGCTCGGTTCTTTTGAAATAAAGAATATTACTTTGAAAGATGGATTTAAAACAAAGATTCAAGCATAAAATGGCTACACTACTGTGTGTTTATGTGGCCACTATCAGTGGATGACATCACTTCTGTGACAAAGGTTCCCCCTCTGATGCTGCAGTAAATACTTCCCTGTGTTTGCTTTGCCTCCATGTCTTATCGCCATAGTGTTGTGTGTATGGCTCGCAGTGTGGCTTTAGTGTTGCTGTTACAACACCTTTGCACCTGTCGTTACACATTGATCAAATAACTGCAGGTGAACAGCTGCGTGGCAAACTCAAAAGCTCATGTTTCAACCTATGCCATAAAACATGAGCTAAATCTGATACAACTCATAAAATCCTTCCATGCTTGATAGCAGACGGTTGGGAACCAAGCAACATAAACAATCTGTTGTTAAAGGATTTTAGTTTCTCAGTTCTTGTTTGTGGAGACGTTTCACAACTTGCAACAACTGCACTCGTGTGCTGATGTGTACTCAACAAATCCTCAATCAATTTTTCCACTCTCGTTTGTCCTCTTTTCACACACTAAGGCCTGCTTTATAATGTAGAGCTAGCTTCACTTTCGCCATATCTTCTTTCCTTCATCTGTCTTTCTTTCTCAGCCTTGGTCTGAGTTTAACCCCCTCCCTTCTCCATGAGGCCTCTCCTTCAAGAGCTGAGCTAGAGGCCTCTTTATCCCGGCCTGCGATTGGTTCACAGGGGTCACATGGTCTTGAGTGGGCTGCACTGCTATCCCTATCCGCCCAGCTCTTTGGGTGTTCACATGGAATAACTTCACAGCTGCAGTGGGAAGAGCGCTGGGGCCGGGACACAGAGGGAGAGGTGGCGAGCCCAAAATGGACATGGCAAACCTTTTCAAACACATCTTTCGTGAGTTTTACACATTCCTTGTTCTGTCTAGCTCCTTGGTGTGAAGTTGTAGTAACCACTTGGGGTTTTACAAGTGGTTTTCAAAAGTCTTTGTCTCAACTTGAAGCCGAAATAGACTGGCTCCTTCGCAATGGAGGAGTGGGTGTCACTTTTTTCATTTTCCTTCCAACTGTGTTCAAACTGCGATTCTTAAAGTCTATGTGATTGAGTGCTAATAGTTTGTGGAATGTTTTAAATGAGGAGGTTATTTGTGGCAGTCACTTTTTAATAGTAGTGGGTAAAGAAGCCTTGTCCTAGGTTTTGGAGTTGGAGTGGTTGCAAGACTGGGTGGATGTGCTTTGAAAGACTTTTGCCGAACTGAAGCCTGTAATTGGCTGCAATCTTTCTGTTTGTCTCCTCGGCACACAACTAGTGCCCACAGAAATCAAACCCCATTTCTCCAGCATTTGTTTGTGTGAGTGGGTTGCAACTCAGCAGATTACATTATCATGCTTTAAGACCCCCGCTCCACCCTGATGGGGACTATGTGGAGACATAGCCCAAGTCTGTTTTCCTTTATGCTAACCCTGAGGGCGAGCCGCCCCCCTCCGTGTCATGAGCTACAGTGGCCGGGCAGCGGACTCCTGAGAACACTGTAGGCATTGTACTGTGAAGAGGAAAGGCTCGGTACTGATTGATGGGACCTGGGTTCCCATCTCCTTCACCTCAGTCTCTTATCAGAGGAATGTCAGTGTCCCGGCAGCTCTGCAGCCTGTGGACACTTTACAGACACACTGACACACTTTTTCAAAAGGCCTGACGCACACTCAGCCTGTAATCTCACCATGTAACTGTTGAGTGCTATCTCCTGTCTGTGCCTGTGTTCTTCCACTGGGATCTCTAGTGTGTCCCTTTCTGCTTTGCGCATCCTAAAAATGAGACCCATAGTTTTAATGAGGTCAGTAGATCCTTGTACAAGTGGAGATGGGCTAATAAAGACCTTTAACTTGTGTTAAGGGGGAACAGTGAGTGTGGTTCCCTCCCTGCGTTTTCCTGTTTCAGAGCCACCCCAGTGAGCGGAAACTCTAATTTGAGCCACATTTCAGTGCAAGCTTTAGGAGTGCAGGCACAAGAGGAAGTGAGAAGTGAAGAGGAAGTTGAATCATTGTGCTAGCTGTGTCTGTTGAGTCTAATGGAGGCCGCCATCGCTGTTTTGATTTGTTTCTTCAAGGCCAGACACTGGCCTTAATTTGGTTAATGTAGTGGTACAGATCACTGGTATTCTCCACTCACTATTTTTGTGTTTTGATATATTGAATACTTACAGCGTAAACTGGAAGTCTACAGACTGTGTACAAGGTGTGTGTTACAAAGTATGTAAAGAAGTTGGACAGACTTCTGTTTTTAGCTCTTTGAAGTTTAGTTCCCAAAGTATTTATCAAAAACCTTTGTTAAATACATGTGTGGAAGGTTAAATAATGTTTTGACCTTGGAAGCTGACATTTTTGTGAATTGGAGGCACAACTTTGGGCTACTTCACAAACGGACCGTTCTTATTCTGATGGCAATTAAAATTGTTCAGTGTACAATTCTTACAAATCCATTTGTGCCACTGTTATTATTTTATATATATATATAATATATATATATGTGTGTGTATACATTTGATTTTCCTACCATCACAAATCCATTTTGTGAGTGCCAAACGTAACGACTGAACTGAATATTAGAGGTTCAAAGCTTCAATATTTTAGAATCTGTTGTAAATTGGCAGAGCTGAAGTTGGCTTGATGATCTAACTTCTTTGGTTTAGCATTTTGTTTTGCACGCATCAGATATTGTTTATAATACAGAAAGTGAATTATGCAGATTGTAACTATAAAATGGGGTATAAATGTTGGCGAAGCTTAAGTATTATGTGTTGAAGGCTGAGTGACGGCAGTAACTTCCAACGAATGATCCAAAGTATTTGTACACTTTGGTGAAATCTCCGCTGGTGGCTGATGCCTCATGAGATTTTAATTGGCAAGACCCATCTCGTCGTTTATAGCACATGAAATGGTTGCTAGTACAGGACTGTCCATTCTCAGCTTGCTCTTTTCCACTCCGTTTCATCCCAGTCTCTCGGCTCGGAGCTTTTGAAGCCCTCGACAGTTGATGTTGAAAGGGCTCCGAGTGCTTCCTGCGTCTCTATCATTCGGTCATATTTACACCTTGATTGAAGCAGCAGGCGGCTTCATTCAATCAGTTTGGGCATCGTTCCATGCTCTAATGGTGATAATGGTCTAGTAGTGGGCCGCCATAATTGTTGTATTACAAATGTACTTGTTATCCCATTTTAAAACATTACATTTATTGACTTGGAAGATGCATGGGTTATTGATTTAAACAAAAATCTTCCCATGTTTGTTTTTTTTGCGCTGAAACAAATGTACTCATTTTAACATACAGTATTTGATTAAATACTTGGCGTGACTGAGCTGTTAATTTGTCCACATTATGGTTAAGAGTAAGCTGTATTAAAGAAAATGTGTGCAATGTTCCTTTCACTGTTGCTTAGATTTGGAAAGGTGCACAGTTTGTCTGCTCAATGTCAGAGGAAATACATTCCACCATTTTGTATTCATCATTGTCATTATTGATGAACTTTAGTACATTTTTAAGCAGTTCTGGATGATTGACAAACTATAACGGTGCTTTTCTTTTGGGTTTGAAACTGGTTTGGAAAGGACTAGCCTGGTCGTACCACACCATAGTACAAATTACATTCCGTACTAAGGTCTGGAGGTGCTCCATTGAGCTCCGTGAACAGGTGGGAGGGGTTAACTCCTTTTGCAGATTGAAACGATTGGATCTGAGTTTACCGTGACGTATGTAGTGCGCCCGAGTCTGTTGTTAGCATTTAGCCTATCCATCTCCTTTGCCGCTAACGGAGCCCGTGGGGAGTAGCGCCACAATTTTTTTTACCCTTTATTACATTACCCTTGCTCCGGCTTCAATTTCTTGAGAGAACCACACTAGATTACTTTACTATCGCATTTTTCGCCATTGCCAAACTACAACCTGCCTGTTCGACCCAAACTCCTGACATCATCCACAACTAACTGCAACGCCGGCCTTCTCTGAATGGTCGGTCGAAATTCAACCGATTGTAATCGCTAACACAGGGAATAGACCCAGACGTTACATGCAGTGAAATGATGATTGAACGGAGTGTACGGATGGCTAGGGCCAGGCTAGAAAAGGACTAATGTTGGAATCGTAAACAAACTACAAGCTTCCTTCTGTTGTGCGTCATTGGGGAGGAGAGGGACGGCAAGACATTCTGTGATTGGTCCACAAATTCATGCAAACATTTCGGCAATTGTTTCCTTGCTGCTGTTCAGTTAGAAATTATTCGCTCACCGCAGAATGGTTATTCCCAGCTACTGTTAAATGAGTTGAAAGCAGCACTCTTCCTACATGTTTACCATTTGAAACAATTTTCACCCCTGAATAAAACAGTTTTCTGGGGGTTCGTTCTGACTTAATATTAAAAACCAGTATTTCATTGACCAGAATATCCACAGCAACAATCGCAAAGGAAACTTCTGTTCTTACGGAAATGAATCGATAGTATTCTAAAAATACTTGAGTGTGATGGTGCAGTCTTAAGGCCGGAGCTGTCAGACTGGCTGACGCGGGGTGTTGTCGTCCACAGAGGAAGAGCTCTGGAATGGAGGGAAGCGCTGGGTCGAGAGGGCCCCGGTGGACAATGAACGGGCAGCCAGCTCACAGGGGCCTGAGATGAAAAACAAAATCACTTCCTGTGTGTTTCTACTCGTTCAATAATGGAAAAAAATGCTACGCTGTGTGCTGTAGCAAGGGCACTGTCCTTGTCATCAGAGGTATAATATTCCATACAACGGAAGCATAGTTGGGGTTAGTTGAGCTGCGGAGGACAATGACACAATGTATTTATCGTGAAAGACTCTGGGTCCTGTACAAATGGTAAACAAACTGTTAGACTGTTAGACTTCCAGCTCGAGTCTCTTCTTACAACTCTGCTTCAATTCATCAAACACTCACTTTCTGTTGCTGTTCTGTTTGCTCCTTCTATTTGGAACGCCTTTTTTTTTTTTTTTTTTACCTCACTTTGTCATTGAGTAGCTGTGATTAACCGCCGGCTGACGATTCTCACTTTCCTTCCGCCCCTCTCAAACTCCGGAAAAAGCATGTGACTTCTAATCGACAGAAAAAATGTCCCTCTTAAATATATCAGCAGTGCCATGGCTTGTGTTTTTTTTTTTGGGGGGGGGGGGGCGTAGCGTGGAGTCCACATGTGCATCCAGGCAGTTGAAGACTACTTTAGGTTCAGGTATAGATCAAGTTCAAAGAGGATTTATCTCTGGTCTGTGCAGCTTGTTAGGGGAGCGCGTGGGGGCAGGGGCAAAACGTGGTGTATTTTTAGCGCTGCCTCCCTCAAAGCAGCACTGTCGGTAGTCTGCCCGGCCATATGCTGTGTGCAAATGATATGTTAGTAGCTTTACAGTATTGAAGTGATTTTCTGCTAGTGGTGGCATTAAAATGTCCCGCCGTCCCAGTGTGTCAGACGGTGTATGATTCCTGTCTGCCTTCTGAGCCCCAGACTGCTTAGTCATTACAATTAGAGATGCACCTATCCACGATTTCCATGTCCAATACCCATCTTGAGACTATGGCTTTAAATATCTGCAGATACCGTGTATGAGCAACATATTATAAAATGTGTCTATTTTGTTATTTTTATCTTTCATCCTAACTACAGCACACACTTCTCAACTAAAGCAAGACAAAACATTCCCAATAGACGGCTGAAAAAGGTTGAGACTGAAGTAGGCTTATTGCTAAACCCTATTAAGGGTCTCTAGTGTTTTGCGAATAATCCATTTATAAGCACTATGCCAGTATCAGATTTCAGCGACTACAAGTGTTGGGTGTATCTGTCTCTTTTGTCGACCAGTGGTTTTTTCCAAGGCCATCCCAACTTGAACTGCAGACTTCTCAACCCCCTCCATCCAAAATAGCAACCCTCATGAAAACGTAACCTTGTAATTGTATTAATAACAAAAGTATACAATATTAAGTACCTAATTTTAACCTTGTTTTGTTATCCTCTGACCAAGGCTCGGTAGTTTCTGTAGTCCCCCTGGTTGGGAACCACCAACAAAGTTGTCAAGTATAAGGACTATCAAATACAAATGTGTCTTATTTGAAAATGCCATTATTTTTTCCATCACTTGTTAGTAAATGTGAATAGCTTCTGAAAATGTATAGGCGGCAGTCCATACAATCTGATTTTGTGCTTTTTGATGGCAAACATCGGTGTGACTGTAGCAGGAACTAGAGGGGACAGCAATAACTGTCTGGTCCCACAGATAAAACTGTGATAGAAAAAAAAATTCACGCAGGAAGCAGACGCACATAGATAAGAGTCCAGTCATTTCATGAGTCCATATATTTTTAGTTTAGTTATAACTATACCGTTTTTCATTCTTTACAATTTTATATTAACAATAATAAAACCTTGGATGTGGCTCAAAGACAAATAAGAGTATAACGTTCATGCACCTCTGTCTTTTGTAGGAGATCCAGGGCATGACGAGGCCTAACCTCTGCTCAGATCAGCTCTTGACACCCTGCTCAGTCTGTAGTTATGTGCAGTGGTGGCACTAATAACAGGCTCTCTGACCGGAGGCTGTCGCTGCTACCATCAAATTTGTCCTCTTGTGCCTGAGTCACAGCAGACACCCCTCCGTAACCGATCATCTGCGTAAATGTGCTCCGTAACCTCCAAATGATTACAATTACTGCATTAGTTACTATCGTGTTAGAAAACCCGGAGCAAAGCAGCTATTTAACAAGACTAACAACTTTTTTACAAACTTACATGGAGCCAAAAGTGGAATTAGTCAGAATTGTCAAAGCACTCTTTCAATTGGTGGCTGTAAATGAAATACATATTGGTTCACTGATGGTCAAACTAAATTATTGCATCAAAAAGTCCTATTGGCTCCAACCAAATTAATATAATTATGCTTAAAGTGAATTTATTCTCTCACTCATTTTTTTAAAGGAAACTCTGAAAATTAGAATATAGAATGGAACATTCAAAAGTCCAGTAATTCAGCTTTACATTGTGAAAACTAATATATTGAAAATGGACTCTTGTCATTTTGATTATAGCTAACAAAGGCTTGAAATATGTCGCTTTGTAGTCTAATGTCACATATTGGTTTCACACTTTAATCTGAATTACAGAAAAAAACAACTGTGAAACAATATTCTGTTTTTTGAGAGTTTCACCCGTAATATGGATTATGGCTTTACGTGTATATCTTATATAGTATATAGTAACAGGAAGACTAGGAAATAGCATTGGCTCTCGGTGCAACCAAGTCAAGAGTAGAGAAAGAATAAGGCTTAAAAAATAAAAAAAATTTAATCAAATTATTACGATTTATAAAATAAAAAAAATACAATGCAAATGAATGTATATGTAATGTATTTCAAACTCAAAATAATCACTCAAATGTCACCACCACTTCACAGGCCCGAATCAAACCCATTGGAGGCGTTTGCCTGCTGGGGTCACCTGATCTCTCCTGGACACCCTGGGCTGTACCTTTTTGACGTGTGCGACATGTAGAGCTGACCCTCCCGCTGCGCAGACTTCCTTTGGGGCTAGCTAGCGGCATGGTTTCACCGCTGTGTCTGTTCAGAACTGCCCTGCCAAGTGGAAAGTCTTGACCAATAAAATGATGACCACACAAGCCTGGCAGACCAAAGGCTGGTATTCCCCGCTCTTAGTCAGACCTGCTAAGTGATGGGTCGAGCGAGCGCATGTCTGCCATGAGAATTACGTTAACACAAGAAATTACAGCCTTGTTCTGATTACGCTTAAGATGCTCTCGAAAGGCAGCTTTTGAATTTGTTTAACTAGTTTATTAAACCGGTTTGGGTCAGTTCAGAGAGTCTTGCGTAATAACAAAATGTCATGTCAATATCAAATGAAACATGGCTTAAAAAATGTCTTACAAAAATGTTTTATCTACAGGCTTGTCACAATCTAGTGATGCCTTTTTTGTGTAGTGTCATATTTTCCTTATACTTTCTCAAGATTCTCTCCATGGAGTTGTTTTTACCATGTACTTAAATGCGTTGCAGTGATGCCAAAGTTATGCTAGCAGTGGGAGTGTGACTTAATGTGGTTTGCTTTTACAGTCTATTAAAATGAGCGTCAGGCGTGAGTTTGGCGTCAAACTGTGGTGCACGGCAGGCTGCAGGTGGAAGGGCATCTCAGGTGACTGCGTTTCAGTCTTCAGATCACACTGCTCCAGAGTCTGTTAGTTGGCCCAGTCACAAATGTACTCTGTGGGGGGCAACCCGAGAGCCTAATATCCTGAGGTGAACCGTTCTGAGGCCTGTGTGTTGTCTAGGTTTGTAATAAACAAGTTTTCATCACATTGTAGTTCTGTACTAACCACACAAGCTTTGGTTTTTGTTTCCTTAGCACCACGACTTAATCCCAAAGAATGTATTTTGGCTTGTAGCGGAGCTGTGGCTCTGAGCTGAGCCCACTCCAGTTGTTTTAAGCCTCAATGAAAGTACGCCAATTATTTGGGGGGATGCCACTGACCTATGGGTACATTTTGAGGTTCTTTCTTACAATGTAGATAGATGGATCGGTAAGTACTTTATTGTCAGACACAAGGATCCAAAATTAGTTTTGCCCAGTTCAGCATCTCCATTCAACATAAAATGTAAACACATACAGGACCCTCTGTCGGCCCTGTCATCTGGATGTGCACACGTAACTTTGCTCAAGGGTTTTTTTTTGTTTTTTTTTCTCAGAAGCTGCTTTGGTTTAAAATGGATACTTTTTTTTTTTCTTTTACTGCATTTCCTTTCCCCTAAGAAGAATTAAGCCTTTGGTTGTGCCACTGTTACTTCATTTAAACATTTTAAATGTTTTCTTTCACAACTCTGACTAGTGGCCTTTGGGTTCATGTTGTAAAGCTGTAGTACAAAATATTAGATTTATTGGACCTTTGACAGGCAGTTACAGTAATAATACAGTAAGGTACAGACTGTGAGATGTTTCCATGACCCCAAACAGAAATGTGTGAGTCAATTTGTTACAGCTTCCTTTTCTTTGTCCTTGCAGGGATCGGGAAGGTAAAGGGCAGGAAGGGCGGCATGAGAGACACTGCCTCCAATGTGGACTCGGACATGTACGACAACGGGGAGCGTCTGTACGACCTGAACGTGCCCGCCATGGTCAAGTTCAGCTACACGGCCGAGCGGGAGGACGAGCTGTCTCTGGTCAAAGGCACGCGAGTCATTGTCATGGAGAAGTGCAGTGACGGCTGGTGGCGAGGCAGCTACAGCGGCCGCTCGGGCTGGTTCCCTTCAAACTATGTGACAGAGGATGTGGATCGAACAGTGGGGGGTCCAGGAGGGCTGGGCGATTCCGCGGTGTCACTGACAGAGAAGCTGACCGCCGTGGTCAACAACACAGCCAATGGGAACAGAGTTCTTCACACGGTCCAGGCCTTGTACCCGTTCAGCTCGGGCAACGATGAAGAGCTGAACTTTGAAAAGGGAGAAGTGATGGAGGTGGTAGAGAAACCTGAGAATGACCCAGAATGGTGGAAGTGCCGCAAAGCCGATGGACAGTTGGGCTTAGTGCCTAAAAATTACGTAACAGTGCTGGACTCCAGCTCCCATAAACTCCTGCCAGGCCCAGCCGGACCCCCCACCCCTGACTGTGACTACATCTCCCCGTCAGGGACCGGCCGCTTCGCCGGGAAGGAGTGGTACTACGGCAAAGTGACCCGGCACCAGGCAGAGGTGGCCCTGAACCAGAGGGGCAGCGAGGGAGACTTCCTCATCAGAGACAGCGAGTCATCGGTGCGTCCTCTTACACTCATTTGTAACACTAAGAATGTGTCAGCTGTATTTTTAGTGTTGCTTAGAAACCAGCAGACACCAGCTGTTTACATGGTGTTTCAGATGAATCACATTTTATAGCATTTAAATACAAAGACCTGAATCTGACCTAATATATATTTGTTTCCCCGCAGTATGCCACGTCTTGTAGTGAAATGATCAGTCAGCTCATGCTTGATAATTTTTCATTCTCTTTTTGCAGCCCAATGATTTCTCCATCTCCCTGAAGGCACAAAGCAAGAACAAGCATTTTAAAGTGCAGCTTAAAGATAACCTTTACTGCATTGGACAGCGTAAGTTCAACTCTATGGAGGAGCTTGTGGAACACTACAAAAAGGCGCCCATCTTCACCAGTGAGCAGGGAGACAAACTGTACCTGATCAAGGCTCTGGCCGCCTCCTGATCCCCCTGTCCTAAATGTGGAGGATACACAAAAACACACTAACATTGAACTGAAGCCTGAGGATTTAGCACATCATCAGGACTTTGAACATATTGAGAGCATTCCAAGACGAGGAGTGGAAAAAGCATGGGAGAGACACTCGGAGGAGGAGACCTAAGACTATGGACTCCTGAGAGATGACTACAGACCTCTTGGTCGCTTATTTAAAATGATCCCAGATGTGTAGTCCATCGGCAATGCCATGCATTTCCTCCTCTGCATCTATTAGACTTATATTTAGTTTTTCTCTTTTGTTAATATATAATCTTTTTAACATTCTTTTTTTTTTCTTTTTTTTTTAAATGGATGATTTTAACTGTCTTGACATCATCTTTTTAAGTCATTTTCAGACATGGTTGAAACTGTCTTAACTGGCTGTGGACACGCTAATCAACAATCTTTGCTAACTGCTTATGCTGAATAAAAATCATGTGACCAAAATTTATTTATTGACACTATTCTCTTAGGCCTAGATCTCAGTAAAACATGCCCGCGTTGATTGTTGCAAAGCAGTGGCACACATGTAGCCTGTTACTCCAATAGTAAAACAAAGTTATGATGTTGCGCTTGCATGCAAACGTGTTTTCACTGTGTCAATGTGATAGCGGTTTGACTCCCGTGAAGACCCTCCCCCATCCCTCACCCTGACAGATGAGAGCTGTGTGCGCGCTGCCAAAGGGGACTTTCCTCTGCAGATAAGGAAAGTTCAGGCCGTGTGCTCGTGGTACTGAGGGGGAAATGGCTGTCCAGTCAAGAGCATGATGTCATCACTCCTGAACAGGCAATCAGCGAGGGGCTGGAGGAAAAGGTTGCTTAAAGGTTATGTCAGTGCGGTTATGTAGAATAGAATGCACTTCTGCACCCAAGGTCAGAATGTATGCTTTACTTTGCTGGAGTTGGAATACACTTATTGATTTGAACGTTTATAAATGGACATTTTGGTTGTAAAGTGGACAAGGAACTACTCTGAATAAACCCCTTACTGAAGCAGCATTGGAGCGGGCTGAGCAGCGATGACGATGATGATGATGATCAGGATAGTGATGAGTTCTGCAGCTGTAGCAAGTTTGGAGCTATCGAGAAGTCGGGGGATTTCATGGGAGGAATGGAAACCGACCCTGTAAAACAAAAGTGGTGACTTGGTATCTTGGGAGGAGTCCTGGATAGCTTCTCGAGTACAGAAATCTGGAATTGTTGTCTGGGTGGAGAGAGCGCAGAGAACATTAATACAAGAAGCAAAGTTGAAGGCACAATGGAGTCGATGTGAGCCGTGTATCCTGTCATTTATGTGATACGTGTATGTTCTGGCCATTCTCTCGAGCTGATTAATGTATACTGTGCGATTTTATGACTGTGTGAAGGTTGTTTTTTTTACTGCACAAGCTAGGAAATGTATGGTTCTGTGGTAGCAATGGAGGTGATTGGATTAGAAGTTGGCGGGAGTGTCTGCCTTATTTATTGAAAGTGCTACAGAATGTGCTTGATTTGAGCGTATTATGACTGACTACTCTTAATTTCAAGACCTCACAAACAAGGTGTCTCTTTTTCAATTAAAACGGTAAAAATAGCCGATGCTACTGTGTATTTGCTGGTTGCTTTGACCCATCTTGTTTTAAAGGCAGTCAAAATCGACTCTTCAAGCTAGAATTTTGTCTTTTTCTTTGCCGGGTGCTTTCTTAACTGGGTTCAAAATCTGTTTTTCAATGTAATCTTTTCACATTTGCCTCCCCATTCGTGTCTAGGGATCAGCGTTTAACAAATTCCGCTAATTGGCTTTGCTTCCAACGCTGTTTTTCCCACCACTCTTCGAACCAATACGCTATCTGGAGTCGTAAATCCGCAATATGATAGAATTACCGTGCGCGCCGCCTACTCTCTGTGCCCCATTTAGAAGGATTTAGGAGCTGCTTTTTTTTTGTTTTTTTTCAACGTGCCTTCACTGCTTCTGGTCTACCAAAGGTTTAATGTCCTTTTTATCACACTGCTTCCATGTCACCGCTGTGTTCTGTCAGTTTGAGGCTTTGCATGTGTGCGTCAGTGAACGGGAGGTCGAGCCAAAACATCTCCTCCGGCCATTTCCTCACATACTCCCCACTTTGTCCATGTTTCGTTGTAGTCTGTCGTATCAAGTGACCTTATCATTGCTGAGAAGTGACCGATCAGGCTGAATAGTCTGTTGACCACACAGTTGGACACATTTTTGAGCGGATTCCATTATTTCACAATTGTCAGCTTGTGATGAGAAAAGCTGATAATTTATTGCTGTTTCACAACTGAAAAATTCAACATAAATAGGTCATTTTGGGGAGATCCATTGACTTCTTGATTGAACCTAGTTATCATCAACCTCATTGATATTTAGGTTCACACATTTCTAATCTAAATTGCTGTGAAAATTGCATGCAATTTTTTTTTCTGACAGCCATTCGTCAACAAATTGAATTAAATTTAAATTATAGGTGAGTTACGCAACGTTTTCTGTCAAAAAAAAGTGTCTATTTTTGCATCTTTGACTTTGATCATGTAACATTTTTTGTGGCTATAATGGATGGTGCCTTCACTTTTGATTGCGAATCTATTGTTTTATAGGTTTTGTAGCGCCAGGGATCAGCTGAGAGGAACCTTCCAACCACTTACCGTAATCTTGTAGCCTAGACAAAAAAGTAAAGTAGGTAAAGTAAAAAGAAGGTAAAGATACCATGATTCCCCCACAGCCACTGGATCAATACAAGTCATGGACAAATATGCAAAAAAATTATACACTTTTATTTTCCACACAAAAAGTTGCATGATGCACCTTTTAAGTAATGCCACTTAACACATCTGCCATGTTCATAGTAAGATCACAACATTATCAAACTAGTGGACAATACGTATAATTGTGAATGGGATGAGATTTTCTCATATAGAGTTCTGAATGGCCTCACTCATGAACAGGCAGATGATTTCCTCTCTCTGGTGATCTTAATCCTGCCGTCCAATGAAAAACCAGAGCTGTGAGGCGCTCTAGACGTGCGGTTGTTCTGTTTCGCCTGGTCGCGTCACTTCTTGAGGAATCATGAATGCTTATTTGAGTTTTCTTTTGACAAACGTAGCTTCAGGTGTGATGTATTCATGACCTCAATCTTATGTAACCACATCAACAGAATCCTGAAGTGTTTGTGATCATAACACCCATTTAAATGTCAGTATGTGTTTCATTGAATTTGACTTAAGCTGCTCATTGTTAGTGAAAGTGCCAATTATTTCAGGGGTGTCAAACCGGACCTCAAGGCTGCAGGTTTTCATCTCAACCAAGCAGGAGCACGCAGACTCCACCCATTTCCTCAGGTCTCCAGGTTAAGACTGGGAATGGGTGGTTTCTGTGAGCTCCTGCTTGGTTGAGATGAAAACCTGCAGCCACACCGGCCCTTTCTGAAACCAGTTTGACACCCAATATTTATAGTATTATGCTAACTAAATTTTAGGCCAATATTACTCAAAATATGGTGTTTTTTTTAATATAACTGCATATCTTGATGATTTGCCAAATGATATATTCTGATGTGTGTTTTCATGCTTGCAGTCGAGCCAGTTCAAATGTGAAAATATTGCATTGTCAAATATACATATGTGCATAAAAATGATTCCACAACATACAGGCCGCACAAGCCCCGGACATTACTGCTTTACATAAATCAAATCTGCTTATAACTAACATTTGGGCTGCCGCTGCAAATTTTATCAAGAGATTTATTCTATTATCCAAATGCAGCTTAAGGGAATTCTTGTCTGCAAACGCAACCGTGAGAAAAGGCTTTATACAGATTAATTTCTAGATAATATTCCAAACAAGTGGCCCATGTTGACGTTGGTGCTTTGTGCTGCTTACATTTCTATGGTGTTCTTTGTCCCGGTGTTCGGCAGAGTGTGGAGTGATGGAGGCAGTGCTGTGAAATGTAATGTCATGCTCTTATTCTGTTTTCATGGAGGAGACGACTTCAGCTGTAAGAGTTACGAGAGTCAATTATTAGAGTGTTCAAACGATGTCAAAATAAACTATGGAAAATTCGATCTGGTTTGGTTCAATTTGTCTCAATCTTCCAGGCATCTAGGAGTGATTTGGAAATGGATGGATTTGTGATAAAAGCTGGGTTTCACGTGCATGTATTGTTGGCCTCTGTCACATCTTTAGATCAGCTTTTTCTTACCAGTATGCAAAGGATCAAGATGGTGTGATAATTTTATATTTATTACAAAACATTACCGCTACAAGGCTTTCTGTTGGGAAAAACAAGTTATCTATGTTGAAGTTAGGTACCCCAGCTTTAAGGGTTAACGTATGAATGAATAAAAATATTACAAATACATTGTACTTTTATTGTGCTTTTTGGTCACTCCAAGGTGCTTTTACAAAGGGACAGGTAAAAAAAAGGATTAAGTTATTTTACCCAATCCTTAAGAACAACATCTACATGTAGCAAATCAAGACATCAAACTTCTTATCTTCATTGATAAGAGCGTTTACATTTATAATTGCACTGTACACAACCAGTCAAAGGGTTCATAACCTCACTGCTCTTGTGTAAGTAATTCAAGGTGGCCTTTAAGATGCAATATTTATACTGATGATTCTCAATATATGTATTCGGGAAAGATTAATGATATTTACAATCCTTCCCGATAAAACCCAGCCCTGACAGGGCTCGTCTCATCTGCAGTACCAGCCCGCCCTCATGTGGGGACTTTCTGTACTGCATGCTGCTATTATATCTAGGTTGAGATGCATTTCTTCAACCGAATAAGGAAGTAATATCCTTGGAGAATGTTTCTGGGTCCATTCTAGATCATACAGACTGCAGATCAATAAAGTTAGTTTGTGCTGCAACAGAACTTTCAAGTGGAGGCATCTCTAATCAGCACAGGACCTGAGCCCCACACAAGTACATTCATCCTGTACTTTCAAATGACCAAATGCAACATTCATGTGTTTATGGTACATCCTAAAACAAATTGTTGTTTACGCAAACCATCCTTTTCCATGTAATCTTCAATACAATTATTTAGAAATATAAAATCATTAATACATTCAATGTCTAAAATGTAAAATGTTACAATCAGTAATTCATTTCTGTAGTATCAAAGGGTCTTCTTTAGGAATAGTGCGTTAGAAGAAGTTAGAAGTACAGGAGATCTGAGACGGCGCTGGGCAGATGGGTCATGAACTGCGCCCTGATCCACCAGTGCGGCTCCGCGGGGGAGTAGCGGGTGTATGGCCATTTGGACGTGACCGCATCAGTGATGTCATTTAGGACCGGGGCCATGTCCTTCTGCCCACTGCTACAAAAGGAGCGCATGAGCGCCATCTGCTGTTCAAAGTGAACCTTGCCATAGTCCTCCTGCACACAGGGAGGGGCCTCTGCCCACAGCTTGAGAGATGTGTTTGTCACAATGTCTCTGGTCAGGACTCCTGTGGCCTGGATGAAGTTTCCAGGTTCAATAACGGACACTTTGACGCCCCAGGTCTTCATCTCGTATCGCAGACAGTCGGAGAACGCCTCCACACCATATTTGGACACACAGTAAGATGAGCGCATGATGTTCCCCATCCTCCCATACAGGCTCGCTATGTTCACCACTCGACCTTTAGAGAGAAGGACACACTGTGAACAAGAGACACACAACAAACCACATAACTACACAAAAGCAGTCTGTGTCATGAAATACATAAGTTCCAGGTTCAAAAACTACTTGGTCCTGTCACTAGTTTTAACAGACACATATTTCTGCCACAGTCACCCAGCTCTCAGCATCAAACACTGACTTAACAGGCGCTTTCTTACAAGTATGCAAAAGATAGTCTTCATCTTTTTAGAAAACAATGTCTCATAATGTGTTCTTCTACAAGACTTTCTGTTTGGTGAAACAAAATGTATAAGTTATTCAACAAGTTAGGTAGCCCAGCTTTAAGATATTATGATAGTATACTTTCAGTTACATAACGAGAGCGTGTTTGTCATATATAGCATTTGTATTTCTTGGTAAAATGAGGTTTTAAGTTCTTTCCCCCTGCATTATCCACATTCCTCATGACATTCCTTGCCTCATGAGTCAGCTGTTCTTTGAAACTTGTCAGGGGGGTTTATGGGGGTCTGTCAGAGGGTTTGTCTCTGTGTACAGATGATATCAGCTACAATCTGCTGATTTACAGATACTACAGTTCATTAATACACACTGTCTCATCCAAACACATAAATACAAATAACCTTTGGCTCTGCGGATCAGCGGCAGCACAGCTTTAGTGATCCTGATGGTGCCTATCAGGTTGACCTCGTACACCTGTCTGTAAGTGTCGATGGAAGTGAACTCCACCTCTCCAAACGAGGCCACTCCAGCGTTGTTCACCACGGCCCACAGCACTACACACACACAGACACACAGACACAGACACACACACAGTTAGAACATCCACAGCTGCAGTTGTGATTTGTCTGTGACCTGAAGGAGAGGCAGCTTCACCTGTGTCTCCGAGGTTGAGTCTGATGCTCTCCACGGCCCGCTCTGTCTGCTCCTCGCTGCACACATCCATCTGCAGGACCTTCATTCTCTCTGACCGCATCTCCTCCAGCTCCTTGGCCCCCTCCCCTCCTTCGTCCTGCACGGAAAACCATTCATCCAATCCAATACACTTTATATATATATAGCACATTTTGGAAAACAAGTTTCCAAAGTGCTGCCCAGATAAAAGTAACACATTAAAATATGTCTTCCAGTTTTAAAATTAAATTAAAAAAAAAAAATCTATATACAGTCCTTAAAACAGGAGAAACTAAAAAAGTAAAGTCACCTTCAGGAGGCACCCGGCAAAGACCGTGAACCCGAGCTTGTGCAGGTGTTTGGCCAGTCCGAGTCCAAACCCTCTGTCACAACCAGTGATCAGAACCGCTTTTCCTTCCACCTGAAGAGACAGAACATTGAGCCTTAGATAACTGCAGCAAAGTGGTTAGTTTAGCACTCTGGCTTCTCAGCAAGAAGGTCCTGGGTTCAAATCCCAGTTGGAACATGGTATTTCTGTGTATTCCAATGTGGTTTTACTGCAAATAGCATGTAAAATGAATCTTTCTGAGTGGAGTTTGCATGATTCTCCATGTCTACGTAGTTTTCCTCTGGGTGCTCCGGTTTACTTTACCACTAAAAACACGTACAATGGGTGAGGGTTGAGTCATTGTGTCTTTGAGTTTGTGTTGAGTAAGACTGTGGGACTACAGATAGAAATTAGCTACAATAAGCTACAATCTGTTGTAAATACAGCTGCTGTCGTTCATTATTATACACTGGCTCATCCAAATCAACAAATGGTGATTATAATAGCCAATATTAAACTTGTATTTTAATCCATCTAACTTTTTTTTTCATTTAACATTACTATTTTCATCCGTAGTCCCTGGGCAGAAGCAAAGGGAGCAATCAGGAATGAATAAATGGAATGGCCTTGCTAGAATTTAAGTTAAATGTAGCACCCTCAACCGCAAAGAGACAAAATATTTACAATATGGACAACACACACAATTACTAATAATCTGCTTAATGACTACACACTTCTCTTTTCGCTGTGTCCTTGAGTTGAAATTGTCCCAGTGAGCTCCACTCCCTCACAGACAGAGGTGAGGTCCAGGCTCCTGCTGCTTTCACAGAGAAACAGGACCTAAAGTTCACATAACAATCTCCTCTAGATGTGGCTCTCTCCTCACACCTTCTCACAAAGACATTTAGGGGTTGGGGTGCCAGGTTGTGGAAAATTGCATACATTAAACAAATATTAGTAAACTGGACGACACTCTCAAATGTTAATAATTAATATTTCTGGATATGTGGGAAAAAAAAAGATATGACCTCGGTCTTTATCTACTAACTTTTTATGGCATGTTTGTATAAGCTCAGAAGAGGTTGCATTGCAGAGTCTTAAGTCAGTGACCGGTTGTGCAACAAAACGTGAAAATATCATTGAATGCATAAAACGCTTTGCTGCATCTGTTCCTCATCCTCAAAACATTCATAATGCATCGTAATTATGTAGATAACTGACTTATCCAAACACCTAAAGAAGCTCCACATGGCATTATCCATTCACTGGGGAAGACTGCTGGATACAAGGCAACTCACCTGCGCCAACATTATCGATCATCCTCACACACACAAGACTCATACTAACCAATGTAGGTGAAAAAGTGTTTTGCCTAAGGACACAACAACAGTCTGGAACTATTCAGCCACAGCCACCTTGTGTAAACCAAACATCTCCCATCAAAGAACTAACCAGGACCTTTCCTGCTTAGCTTCTGAGGTCCAGCCTTTCAGACATACAGTATAACAGGGAAAGACAGGACCACCCACACTCAGACAACTGCAAATAGTGACTCTAAAAACTAGGACAAAGACAGAATGTTGTGATCAAATTTGGTCATAGCATTTTCATTGATCTGCTACATCTTTTTTTCATAAGGCTCGGCTAAAATAACTTAAACCAAAACCCTTGTTCTCAGTATTGTCAGTCAATATATATGACATTGTTCTTGGAATTAAAAAAAAAAAATTTTAACCTGTCACTTTGCACCTTGGAGTGACCAAAAAGCACAATATAAATACAAATATGTTAAGGCAAATCAAAAAGCCTGGGTTATGCAATGAGGAAAAAAAAGTTAAGTACCCCAGCTTTAAAATGTTCAGATTACACCATATCATAAGCGAGGTATAGGTGCATGTGCAGAGCTATTATGCATAACAATAATAACACTATCTAATCACCTTTATGCATCCTCTTGGAATCCTGGGCATAGCAACAGAGACCACAAACATTAAGTAGAGTCCCACAATGCACTCCGTGACACTGGTCTCTGGTATCCCGAGCAGCCACATGCCCGCGTTGAGCAGGACCGGGAGCCCGAAGCCCAGGAGCAGCGTGAGGAGGACCGAGCCCGACACCAGCAGGACCACTCGAAGCCCGGGCACCGAAGCCATTTTGATGGAGTGTGTTTACGTTCCAGGCCAGGGTTTTGATCAGTTTTGATGCGTGTGTGTGTGGGATCAGATGTGGATCAGACGTGGATCAGACGTGGACCACCCTCTCGGCACGCCCCCTGCTTCATTATTCAAGGAGAGAATAGTGTTTCTGTCAAAGCGCTACTGTGGCGCATGAGACCACAGAGTATACACGGATAAAACAGATTATATATGTAGAATATTTGTGAATAAGGTCGATGTCAGCTCTGTTGCAGGTGTGTCTCATGCGTGTGGTGTGTTTTCATGTGTGTGTTCGTGTGTGTTTGTTCTGCTCTCGTCCAAGTTCAAGAAAGACAAAACCGGAAGTAACGAGTTATCACTTCTCTTGCTGTAGAAGAGTCACTATACTCTTGGTAGAGGGAATAATTAGTCACTTTATTATAATTTTTTTTTTCTGGTTTTGTTTTTTAATTTGTTTGAGGAGATGGAATCAGGTTACAATTAGAGTTTTGGTAAGTGTTTTTTTTTTAAATCTAGAATCAGCTTTAATTTTTACCGTTTTTATTTCTACAACAGCTGTTAATTCATTCAGTGCACAGTGGTGATAAGTTGCCCTGGGGCAGACTGATGGAAGTAAGGCTTCTAGTCTGTGCCATCATCAACCCCTCCGATGCAGCCGCCCCACTTTAGGCAGCCTCCCATCACAGTACTAACCACGCCCTGCCTGCTTAGGTCTGACAGGATCAAGCTTACACATATGGCATGTGAAACGAAGGAAGGACACCAACAAATATACTACGGTACTTGACAACCGGAATTATAGTTTTAATATTCGTCATGGGAAAAGACAATGCAAAAGTCGACAACGTTCTCAAATGAGGACCACATGGTACAATCCTACTGTAAGTGAATTTTCAGACAGTAATTCTAGCCAGGTACAGAACAGTAGTCAAACATGTCAAGGCACTGATATCTGATAGAGCATGTGACTTTTAGAGAAAATGTAAACATCTTTTAAGTAAATATGAATCAGAATGAAACACATATGAAGGACAAACAAACAAACAAACAAAGGTACATGTACAAAAAGAAAAAGAAGAATGATACAGAGTAAATGACGCAAATAAAACCAGTTCAACTCCCGTTTCTCCATGTAGCCTGTACGTCGTAAATACTAGGGATACAATGTTTGATTTAATGCTGGCTTTGTGTCATTATAGATACAAGCTTCTCTTAGCAGTTCTTTGTCATGACATTCACTTTCTCTGCTTATTTACCCACAAAGGCCAGTGACAGCTCTCCAAACTCTAGTTGAGGCCTAAGGTGACGTTTGTTGAACTGTGTAAGTTCTGTTTTTGCATCAGACTTGAACTCCACTTCATTTGAGGAAACTATCGAGCTTCGCCTGGATATTGTCAAAGGAGTCCATTCCCAGGTAGTCGGCCTGGCCCTGCTCCCACCTCTCCTTCCGCTCCTCTGAGGACATGAGGGGCTGAGGGGACTGGGACTGTGCTTGTGATGGGCTCTCCCCCTGAAAAACAACATGTACTTTCAGACACACTGAGATTTTGCAGGTCAAAAATATTGTGTTGAAGTCTGTGGAACATTTATTGACATTTATTTACGTTTATGGACATTGGTCAGCCTCCCCCTTTAGACCTACGCCTCCTGTATGTTTGCTAGTATTGCAATTCCTGTGTTGAAACGGTTTGATTATCTGATCTGTAAAGTCCAGCCACAGTTCTGATTTAGGGCCATACAACCCATTGAATTGAATTGAACTTAGTGTTTAATAATCTTGCACAAAAGGCTTGTGATTTCCATAGTTACAGAGGGGTAAACAACTGTTCTTGACAACCGCAAGGTACAGCAGCCAACGCCGCTCACAGCTGGATTTCTATATGATGATGTAACAGTTCTGATGTATGGACTATAATTACTTGAGTTGTCAGCGTTAACTCAAGTGGTGGTTGTCAAGAACATTTGTTTCCCCCTCCATAACTATGGAAAAGATCTCTAAAAGATGTACAGACATGCAAAAAAAAAAAACTAAAAACATGTGCCTGCATGAATCAATAACATGCTCAATTAGGATTCCATTAAAAAAACTAAAATAAAACTTCTTGTAAAGGAGTATATGGAGGCAGACCAAGGGATGGGGGAGAGGGGCAGGGCCGGAGAGTGTTTGAGCCGGTGCCTGGGTTAGTGCGTGTGTGACTGTTCTGTGTTTTATGAGTGAGAGGGGCCCGAGCCAAATAAGCATCTGCTTTGTCCAAACATAGACTGTAAATATTAACGGACGTAGTCACGCCTATTTCTGCTTTTTCAAAATGGCAGGAAAATTTGAAAAAAATGCATTTGCTATGCTTCCCTCAGCATCAGCCCATTAGCTTTGGGCCAAGAGGAAAAAGGCGCCATACAAATGCATTGGATAATTCTCTTTCCAGGTCCACCTCCACCTGCTCGTGGTGGTCTTGCAAGTATATGTCAGTGCAAGTGCTCATGGACGTTTTTGAGCCGGGACCCGCCCCCACGGTGTACATAGTTATGAAATAATGAATACATATAGAAAAAGCTTACCTCCACGCAACCTGAGTGGAAAGGCTGGTCTCCATACTGCTCGTACAGCAGCGGCACCACTGCACTGGAATACAACATCCACCAGTCCATGAGGAAGCTGGGGTGTGAGGTCGCCTCCTGCGGACTGCCAGAGATGCGCTTTGCTTTGGGGTCAAACGTGTAGCTCCATGGCTTTGTCTGCCCAAGGAAGTGAACCACCTTAGCATTGCCACCATATCTGCAACGGGATACAAGATGGAAACTGGTGAGCATCTGTTACGGACCGTGGCCTTGATCTGGCTCCCTTTTGCATTTTGTGCTTGTGCATCCCCCTCCCTCCCATGTCCCCTGTCTCTGGAACCTTGGCCTGTGATTGGAGGATGACTGGCCCTCCCACTTTCTGGAAGGTGGCTGCTCTATGTGCTGATTGGTGCAGCGGGTCTACACCTGGCCAATCCCAAGCCCTCACCTGTGTCACTGACTTTGAAGTGCTCGTTTTGTTAGGCCCGAGCCCCGAACGGGGTAAGGGCCTATTGCTTTCAGAATGGTGAATGCAAGTTGTGGCGGTGCGTGACTGACGCGTCAGCGCCCGTCACTCACCCCGACGTGACGGTTGCGTGCGTAAACTCAAACGCTTTAAGGCCCTGTTTATACTGAGACGCTGCGCAGACGTTTCCAGGCTATTAACAGAAACGACCAGGCTCCTAATGCAAATTTCTCAGCGTTCACATGAGGTTGAAAAACGATGTAGTTCTAGCGCCCGGCCAGTAGTGGGCAGATAAACTTTACAACACTCACACGACCCCCAGCCCCGTGCCCAGCCCCCCTCTCGGCAGTGTACTCACTTCCTGTACCAGACCCTCAGAAAGTACCAACATCATTCTGCATTTTAACAGCAGCTGTGAAAATGGAAACTGAACCTAGAGCTTCGCGTGGTCTCGTTTGGAAGAACGAAGGAGTAGAGGTATCCTCTGTGCCGTGCTGGAAGCCCACGAAGCTAGTTAGTGTGCGCGGCGCCATTGTTGTTGATGTTTGTTCTCCGCTACTGCGCATGTCCAAATTTACGTGCGGGGAGCAGCGCGGAGGCGGGGGTCAGAGCAGAGGGGGATTTCACACCTTTTCCCCTCTCGCGGGTGTGAAAGAGCCCCCGCTGTGCAGCGTTTCTGAGTTGTCCCACTCTGCAGGCTGGATCTGAACACTTACGTTTTCACCTGGAACACAGTCTTCGTATGAACGGTTGGTAGCAACCGACATCCAACTCTACCGTTTTACTGCTACATTGTCTTTGTGTAAACTCAGCCTAAAATGATGTATCACGTGCCATTGAAACCTATATTGTTTTTGCTCGAGACGTCGAAAAATAAATTCTTTATTTCTTTCTTTCTTTCTTTTTTCTTCTGCACTTTGAGCCTTAATTTGACCCCCTGAACGTGCATGAAAAGTTGTTAAATTTTGCCCAAAAATCAGACCTGGCGAAAAATTTGATATTTTGGTTTATTTTTATGGGACTTTTATGGGACATGAAACTTGGTACACATGTTTCTCAAGTGAAGACATGAAAAAAATATTATGATGGCTCCGCCCTCTGACAAACAGGAAGCCCATAAATTTCACAGCAAAATGGAAAAATGAACAGCAATCATTTTCATACATGTCGGTTGGAAAGCGACTCCTCCTCGGCCGTTTCACCGATTCGCCTCAAAATCGCTCCACATCATCTCAACACATGTACCTTCAAAATGACCTCAGGGATTTTTGATCAGTGAAACGTTGTTTGAGCAGCGGAGCGGCAAAATGTGACCTTTTTTTGGCCGTTTTTGACAGTATAAAATTTGCTCCCGTTTGCAAATACAAAGTCCGATTTGCACAAAACTTTATTACAAGTGTGGGCGGCACGGTGGCTGAGTGGATAGCACTCTCGCCTCTCAGCAAGAAGGTCCTGGGTTCGAATCCCGGTCGGACCAGGGCCTGCGTAGGTTTCCTCCGGGTACTCCGGTTTCCCCTACCACTAAAAATATGTCCAATAGTTCTGGCATGCGCCTCCTGTACTGGCGACCCCGCTCCCATCTCTGTGTGGAGTGAGAGACAAATGCCCATAATTAACAATTGTACTGTAAACCGCTTTGAGACTCAGATCTGCAGTGAAAAGGCGGTATATAAATAAAAACTTACTTACTTACTTACTTACTTACATTGTTTAACTCTAGGGTCTAGGTCATTTGAAAGTGAAATGATTCAAATTGACACATTAGCGCCCCCTACAGACTATTTCAACGTTTTATATGGCCATTTTCAATTTCAGTTTTTTCAAAATCTTTGAAATTTTGCACATACATCTGTTTTGCCCTCTTGATTCAAAAAGTCAATAGGGCCCAAGGCTTATTTTTTACCCTGTTGCCGTGGCGACGACAAACGCTCCCCATTCATTGTCTATGGCAAATGTACACCTCGCACAAACATCCAACCAGCCTCGACCGTTTCATAGATTTGGCCAAAAAGTTGCTCCACATCATCTCAACACATGTACCATCAAAATGACCAAAGGGATTTTTGATCAGTGAAACGTTGTTTGAGCAGCGGAGCGGCAAAATGTGACCTTTTTTTCCCATTTTGACATTAGAAACATAGCTCCCTTTTGCACAAACCAAGTCCGATTCGCACCAAATTTGAATCGGTTGTTCAACTTTTAGGTTTGAGCAAACTGAAAGTGTAAAACATTCAATTTCAGCATTAGCGCCCCCTACAGACGGAGTCAAGTTTTACATGGGTGAGAATGGCATTTACTAAGTCTGATTTGCACTAAACTTGACTCGGTTGTTCAACTCCTGGGCCGGCGTGGTAGGGGGCAGCTTGGTAGGGGGCAGCTTGGTAGGGGGCGGTTTGTTTTTGTGACACTTTGCTTTTGTTGAGACAGTAGTTATAATTTACAACCCTTTTAGTTCTGTTTTTGTCCAGTTAGTTTTATTTTGTTTTGTTTTTTACCCATTGGTTACTCCGTTTTGTCCTTTTTTTGTATTTTACCCATTGGTTTTTGTTAGCCTATCATTTACATTCCTGTTTATTAAATTACTACTTTTACCATTTAACAATTTGGTTTTCGGTTTCCTCTCTCACCCTAGCAGCATTTGACATAACAGCCAACAGAGACCCACAAACAAACAAACATCTTAGCCCCAGTTGACAAAATATCCTATATATAACCACACACACTTACTCATCATGGCTTTACAACACAAAGGCACTTAAATTCACGTCTATAGAGATGCATCAGCTGCTGGGTGGTTTAGGTGGATTTGCCAGTGTGCCTTTGAGCCTGTCACTGAGGGCTTACCCGTGGTGCTGTTGGAATCTATCTGCTCATCGCTCAAGTAATCTGATGTCACTTCACAGTCAGCACACCCTCCTGTGATAGGGCTCTGGTTACATCTGGCTGCTACAGTTACAGACGTGTTACCACATAATACTTACACAACACGGACTAATGGGAACAAATGGAAACAATAAAGAAGCAGCCTCACTCCCGACGTACTGTTTAAATGCTGGGAGGTATGTGTAGATGGCGATGCTACTGAGGTTGTAGATGAAGGGAAGGTGTTTGGAGATGTCAGCTGTGGCCCAGTCGCCAAAGTAACCGTTTAAGATTCCCTGGTCGCCTCCTGGAAAAAAGAGAAACATGTTCTTCATGTGGAAAGACTTTCACAGTGTGATGTCTGTAACTCAAATCTATTTTGGAGTTAAGTACGTCACTGTAGATAGTGTTCCAAAATACAGACGACCATAAAGAATGCACACTCAGAGTATGTGCCGGGAGTTACTGTTTGTGTGCCACAAACAGTAAGTTTGTTATTTCTACAAATGTTATCAGTGATATTTGATGATTCCTCTGAGATTTAAACATTCAGGAAAACTACAAACCTGCATTAAACATGGAGCCATGTACATTTGCCAAGTTCAACTTTATTGTTCCTTAAACAATGGAGCATTTGTCTTGAGCCTGAAGTGCAGAGGTACTTATTAGACAGTGTTGGGTAGAATACTGAAAATGTATTTTGTTCCAGAATACTGAATACATGTCTACAATATATTTTGTATAGTATTCCGTTACTTTGGAAAAAGTAGTACCTGTATTCTGAATACTTTTAATTATTATTATTTATATTATTACAATATAATTATATTGTGTAATGTTTATCTATACCTGTTTAAATAAATAAAACATGTTCTTGTTTATTTTTGTAAAACAAGTCAAATTGCTTCAACAGCTGCCATTTAACAACCAGAAAAAATAGAATCTTAATTTAAGAATACGCAAAGTTTTCTGTTTTTAACCTTAAAAACCTGAAAAAGTATGCATTCCTATGATTTTCAGAGTAACTGTATTCTAAATACTAGTAACTGTAATGGAATGAAGTTTCTCAGAAAGAGTATTCTGAATATGTAATGGCGATACATGTACATAATACTCCAATATTCTTCAATAAAGGTGTGGTCAGTGAACGTCAGACAGTATTTTGAGTATATTGACCATATGTTGTAAGTTCACCATGTGAACAGTGAACTGGACAGACACACTTAGACACAAGACGTTCTTGGCAAAAAGTAACTTTTGAATACTGTGTGAAGTGAAGTGGCTAATATTAGATGCAATGACAGCAGGTCTGAGCTCTGCCCAAAGTTTGTGGCTTGTCACTGGTGGCTACTTAAAAAGCTAAGCTCCTGTCCATCTCTCCAATTCATCTTACTACAAAAATCCTGCCTTTCACTGAGCTCATTAAACCAGACAAATGACTAGTGTGATTTGTGTCCACAAAACAGGATCAAGGAGGAAACATGGGCCAAAATGATCAAATCCAAGAGACAGTTATGTTAACTCCATTCACAGCTACTCAGCTTAGAGTAATTAAAACAGAGATCATGTGTTGTGGCCCAGCTCCAGTGCAGGAGAAGCCCAAACTGGTGCTGGGTTTCAGAAAGTCATGAGGCTTGAATATTAGAATTGTTTTGGCTACTGATACTAAAATCTACCCCACCCTTTTACAGTGACTTTGTGTGAAGAATGTCTTTATTCTGCACAGATGCTGCAGTTTGCATTGACAAACTTTAATATAGAGCTGGATTCTTCATTTTAAGAGGATAAAGAGAAGTATGCAGCTGTGGCTGTGCCAGTTGGACTTGGCTCTGAACCACCAGCACAGACGGGACACACTGCTGTAGTACAGACCTGTAGTGCATGTGCACATTACAGTATGTATTCATCAGAAATGCTAAAGGTCAAAGCATCAACTCATGCTTCAGAGCACATGAAAAGATATGTCTATAAATAAGTCTGCCTGTCCATTAGCATTAGCATGCCACCAGGCGTGCACACCGACACACCGGCTACACTGCACTGCTTTGTGCATAGATTAATGATTAAACAAATAATCTTCTAAAATATATGTTTCTTCATAAAACACTTCACTATATACATTAAAACAATAACAATGTATCAACTTTTTACAGTACCATGAACAATGATCCTCTCTGATGCCAGCTTCACAAAACATCTAATCTCTCAGTCCTGAATGAGGTACACAAATGTCTCCACATGACTTCAGCCTGCCTCAGGGCAGATGTGGCTACAACAGTAACTTACCGTGTGTGGAGTGAATGAGTAATGCAGTTAAAATGATTATATACTTACTTACAGAAATCCTAGATTAGTTAATAAAAAACAGTTTCAGATTACTAAATAGCCCTTCATTCATTGGTTTTACTGGTTTATAACTAAAGCTCACCAAATACATTTGAATCTAAAAAGTATCACGAGTGACATTAAACCGGAGGCAGAGGAGTGTGAATGTCACCTGCTCTGTGCATAACAGGCCTCTCAAATGTGTGCTCCCCCAGTCCCAGCTCTCACTCAGAATAACTTCTGCCTGAACAACAGGCTCAGAGCTGCACTTCCACAGCTCCAGACGCCATTCATGCTTTTTTCAACGGATGATTTAACGGTTTATTTGAACGGATCTTATTACAATATTATACAACAACTCAATCACAGATGTTGATAACCATGGCATAAACGTTATATCTATGAGTTGGTAAAAAATTATTGGAGGTAGAGAAAAAAAGGACAAGGGAGACTAATGCTCTCCTAAAGAGAAGTAACCAAAGAACTAAGTGAGATTGACACATCGTGTTCATAGTAATAATTCGGCCACTTCAGCGTAATCCTCTCCAGAGACTCAGACCTACAGCATGCTGCTGCAGTCACCTCCAGGAATGAGGTGACATAGTTTTCAGTAAATTGGTGTATACCTGTTCCCAGTGGGTATGTAGTCCTACTGAGGATACACAAGTCCAAATGTATCAGACAGACAGCCACAGCAGAAAGACATGTGATTGGTGCATTTGGGGATTCCAGAAAGGACTCACTCTGGAGTCCAGACTTGAGTGCATGAGACGGTCATTACAATTTCATATTGTGCACATATTTACCTCCCGTGTAACTGTAGGCTGGGGTGTGTTTCAGTCCATGGTTAGTGAGTATAATAAACCAGAAACAGTTTGAATGCATGGCTGTTGTGTCGAGAACAATGATACTCTGCACAGTGCATTATGGCTCCTGCAGGTGTCTCCTCTCTGACCTGTACATGTACATGTACACAGATGTACTACTACCCCACGGGGGTAAACTGTGTTGTATGTAACAGAGCTGCTTACCGTCAAAGCTGCCGTGTTCCGTACTGTACTGCAGCAGTTTGCCATATGTCTCCATTGAAGGACAAAACACAAAGACTCCAGAGTTAAAGCAGTCGGGCCAGCCGGGGTCAGGGGCCGCAGACAACTCCTGTCTGTCAAACAGCTCATCGATGTTGGAGAGCACCTGCAGCCGACATGATCACACTCAGCGTCAAAGGGAAAGTGATTTTTTGTTTGTCTCAGTATGCATTTTTTTTACCCTTGTCAGTTACTCTCATTATCTACAGGGTTCTATACGTCAAAACTTACCATATTGTTTCAGTATTATGACTTTATTATCTGTAATTGTGTTACTTTACATATAAATAATACTATTGCGCACACACACATGCACACACATCTGAGGATCCCTTAAAATCATGCATCTCTCCACATATTTTTGTTGCTTGTTGTATATTTGTTGCATTATTGTATTGTCTTACCAGAGTGTCTGCATCCATAAAGACACATTTGGAGAAGTGAGTGAGCGTCCAGCAGTGGAGCTTGGTGAAAGTGACCCCCAGGTCCGGTCTCTTCATCATGGACAGATGTGCCGTGTCCCCGCTGTCCAACACGTCCACCACACGGACCTCGTCAAAGATCCTCTGCAGCACCCTCCTGAGCGGGGAACAGAGTCACACTCGGACCTGCAGCAGTCTGACAGACCTGGGACCATACTGGGAGCGTACTGGGAGTGTACTGGGAGCATACTGGGAGCATACTCACTTGCACGGCGCTGACACCTGTGGCCCAATCAGGATTACCAGCTTCTTCGCAGTCTTGTGGTTCCGCAGGGACTTGCCCAATACCATAGCTCCCCGGGCATAGCTGTCGTTGGTCGCCAAAGTCACAAAAGCCTGGTCTGCCAAAGGAGAACAAAACCGTCATGCTGATTCACCTGCAGGTTAGGTTCAACTTCTATATTACTCCTGCTGAAATGTTGTATAATTTTTGGGAGATATTTAGGGGTTAGGTCTTTAATTCTTCAGTCAACAAGGAAGAAAGAATTTGTCTATTAACCTAGTGGAAACCCTAACCCTTCAGTCATACACCATGTAGCTATCAGTAATGTATACACACAAAAATTCCACTCAGAAAAGCACTGGAGGAGAAATTTAACCCTATTTGGACCTTTTTGCTCAAAAGTGAGAGCACTAACAACTCAGCCACTGTGCCACCCTCATACTGAAGTGTTTACTTTTAGAGTCAAGCCAAGTCAAACTCTCAAATCACGTGTTCAATCAATTATTTAAATGATTTCAGTGATTTGATGTTGCATTTCCAATTCTGTTCCCTGCTTCCGGAGTGATTTTAGGCAGAAATAGTTGTCAATCCTTACATTTAAGTTTTGGGTCAGATAAATACAGATTTTTTTTTAGAGCATTTGCCCAATTTTTAGTGACCTGACCGTCCGCTTTGGCTTGTTTTCAATCAACCGACAATGTTTTGATCTATTCTATTGGATGCTCTTTCGGATTCCTGATGCGTACAGTGCAGACAAGTCACACCCTATGTCACTCCAAAAAGTTCCCCTAGAAATACACAACATGTACCCATCATGCAAGAATGAGTCCAGTATGAACTTATTGCTTTATTGTGAGATTTATGACATGTCACCAGTGGAAAATGTGCCATCGAACTGCCAGGCCAGGTCCAGAACAATGAGTGTCTGTGAGAACATATAAAAGCAGATGATGCCATAGTCCAGGCACTTCGTAGAGTTGTGTGACCCTAGCAAAGTAAAGCCAAGTAGCCTGCAAGACTTTTTTTTTTTTCCCATGAGCAGAGACTCACATGGCTCTGTGTACAGTGCCACGCCCCCTCCTCACACCTCTTTTCTAATTGGAGGAGAAGAGATGTGAGGAAAACCACAGCTGCAGACGCACAGAGACCTGCAAAAACGCACAATTTGTTCTGCAAAAGCATAACCATGAATGTCTGTTTGTCTGTTTTTGAGAAACACATGACAACTTTACAAAGAGAGATCAGCCCATTTCATAGAAGAACACAGTGTCCTAGAGTTACGCGACCTAAAAAAAGGGCCCTTCTCCTAATATAGCTTCGTGGAGAGATGCAGCCTCCGTTTGATGATTGCTTTGAAGATCTTTTGATTTAACTGTACAGCGAGTGCTTTTATTGCCTGAAATTGATGATCAGATAATGCAAAAGGATAGACAATAATCTAAATGTCAACGAGTGACCGGATCGAAACTCCAACGCGCACAGGTCACTTTGACATGGGGTAAAACGGACACCGCTTTTGAACCGCGCTCCAAACGTATGCGTAATGAACCAATAATAACACAGACTGGGTTAAGATGAGCAGAAAGTGATAGTAACAGTTTGAAAAGTGTTGAAAAAAAAGTTACATACCAGCCATTATTGAAGACGTGTACTCAAGCTACGGGTGTGTAGCCTGGGCTTAGGGACAGGGAGACTTGGAGAAAAGGGCTGTCTAAATATACAGAGGTGGATTTATAGTGCTGTCCCACCACGGCCAGGAGCGCAGCGTCACGTGACACCCCCTGCCCCAAGTGAGGGAGTTCATCTGTTCACTTCTGCGTGTGCTACTTTACTCATCATGGATCTATTATAGTGGGTACTCTGTCTACACGGGTTTGAATACGTTTATTTATCACTCACTTTTGTGGTGGCTCCCCCTGTCATTATAATACTTGCATTATTATATTTTATTCCTAAAAAAATGTGATCATGTGGTCAGAAGCGGCGAGTTTTCATTTTATTTTTTAAAAACATTCATTTCATGACTAGATAATCTGTTGTGTGTTGTGCGTTGTCGCCCTCTGCTGGTTAAATGTAGAATTACAATCAAGTAAAGAGAAAGCAAACAAATCTCCTGGTCATGTATATGGAACACAGTCCTTGATTAATCCTCAGTTATAAATGGTTCCTTGTTTGCAAATAGTACGTTTATCTAATGTTCAGTGATGGACCACTTTTTGCTTATGCTAACAAATACTTTACTTTTACAAAACTGAATTCAGGAAACCCAAAAGAATGAATAGCCTTTGGCCTCTTTCACATGTAGCTCATGAAGATGCTTGGCAGAGCGGTCGCACTGCCTGGACGCGGTCGTCACGTACTGAATCCTTAAACAGGCCGCTGCCTCCCACTCTGGCCCCTGCCCCTGGAGCAAAGCCAGATCCACGACCACGGTTCAAGAAGTCTGTGCCAGGCTGAAGAGATCCATTGTACCCTAACAAATGGAAATTGTAATTCTTGGAAGAGTAAACTGGCTAAACAAGCAGGTCGTCATAAGTTAAATAATTCATAATGTAGTGTTGCTTGTCACACACATTGTGGACAACAGCATCCATCACACAATATCATGCACACACACATTTGATTCAGCATGTGGGGATGGATCATTGATTTTATTGTTTGCTCTCATCTTGACATTCTGTCAAGCACAGCACGGCAACATGGCGGGAGGTGTCCGTATCCATGGAAACAGGCTTGAGTGGGAGGTCTGGGGGCTGGTGCAGAGGAGGGGAGCTGGCAGGGGTCCTGGCAGCGTCTCTGTCTTTAGTACAGGTTCTTCTGCACATAGGCGGCGATGTACTTGACGGCCAGCATGGTCTCCTCACACGTGGGCTTGATCTGAGACTCGGGCAGCAGGAAGCCGTAGCGCCCAGTATCGCGCAGCTCAAAGGTGTAGGAATACTTCACCCCCAGGTCATAGGCCCAGTCATCAGAGCCACCAGCAGCAGGGTCTGCACACAACACACACAGGTGCATGAGCCCTGGCTTGCTCGCCAACAACAGCCCTTTGTTTACTAAACATCTGAACTTCATATAGAAGCAGGCAAGCTGGATATACATTTGCAGGTCCATAGTGAATACATCATACTGTCGGCCAAGAATATAAGACTCAACATAGACTCACAACCCCCCCACAGTGAGAGGAACACAGCTGTAGTGTAATGTGCTTACAGATAGTGGTAGCTCCAGGGCCACTGGTGTAGCGGGTCCCGTACAGACTACGCAGGGCAGAGGAGGCCCCCTCAGCCACCTTCAGCTGGGGACAAACAAACAGGGTTAGAACAATCACAAAATAAATATGAACAGGTATTTATTTACTGCAAAAACTAAAATAATAAAACAATGTATAAAAACTATCAAAAGTCTTTATGAAGTCAGTTGAAACAGTCTGATTGATCTGCAGTACATTTTACAAGAATCCAGCTATCATGAAATCTCTGAATGAAGCTAAATTATTGCTATGTAACTGTTGATAATTAAGATGATGGATTTTAGTTGCAGAGCTTTTGTTGTATGCCTAATATAATACACATTGAAATCACGATTGCACAAACACGTTTCGATTCTGCAATAGCAAACAATATAATCAGAATCAAAAACTCATCGTGCAACAATATGTTTTATGCCATAAAGCACATCATGAAATACTCTAGTTAGCTCGCACAGGAAATGAAAACCTCTGGAGAAAAGCACAGAGGAAATGATATTTTGGGATAGTCAGAAAGCAGATATGGAGGATGCGCCGAGTTCCTTTGTTCTGTAAAGTGTCGGAGAGAGCTTAAATTACACACGTGGGTAGTGCGGGGTGTGTGGTGCGAGTGTTAACTGCACAGTGTGTGGACGCCCCAGCGAGAGCTAAAAGACCCATGAGAAGAGCGGGGAGTCAATGATTTGCAGCAGCTAAGTGTGGCTTTTAGATAACAGGCTTAATGGCACTAGGCTGACTTCATGCCTAAGCTTTTGGAAACTACTTCATAATCGCTTTTTCATGAGCACCTTTTTGTTATGTTTTTGGGGAAGATGCATCCAAGATTTCAACCATTTATGTACAGATAGAGGAACCGATTTGCTTGTGAGCTTTTGTTAATGATTGATGCGAGGCTTGAAAGCACACATCAATACCACGATATTTAAACAACTATTCAACTTTAGCGGCCACAGTGATACCAGGGTAGAACAACCCTGACATTGGACATTGGTCAAAAATAACCATTGTATTAGTCGGAAATGAATCAATCAGTTGGTCACGGGCCAAGCAATTTAACTGGATTAACCAATATTGAGATTATTATACACAGACCGACCAATTTGTATCAGTTGTGCGCTTGATAGATAAAAGACTGAACATTTAAATTAAACAAATCAGGCCACAACATTCTGTCTTAATCAGTTTAGAACTATTGTGATATGTACACAAAAGATTCTTGGGAGTAACATGCAGATTGTTATCATTTTTTTAGTTCAGGCAACTGGGATTGGCGGCCTTAATTGAAACCTTCTTAATAATAGGAACAGAGGTCACGTATCACTTCTCAGGATATGTTTTGAATACTTCTGCTAGAATCTTTAAATACTGCAATAGGTGGTGGTACTGACCAGTTCGCTGTGGTGTGCGGCCAGGCTGTAGGAGTAGGAGTAGGGGAAGAGCAGCAGCTGGGAGTACGAGTGGATGGTGAGGTAAGCCTTGATGACGGCCTTGTTCCTGCGGATGAAGTCGGCCACATTCTTGACCTCGATCTCGGACTCGGGGGAGTACCCACAGAAGGTGTCGCTGCAGGGGTTGCTAGATGCTCCCAGGGCTGGAGGAGACAAAGAGACATGTTGTTAAATATATGTACACTGCAGCAAAAAGGGATGAAAAATAAGTACAAGTCAAAAAAGCCTAAAATGGTGCTAAATTGTTGCTATTGTTGTTGTGTTAGACTTACTGCACCAGCCGGCGTTGAAGTTCCTGTTGGGATCAGCTCCAACGCAGTTGGATCCAGATTTCCTGGAGCGGGTCTTCCTCCACATCCTGTTCTAAATGCCCAAGAAATAGAGAAAAAAAAAAACAATCTTATATAAGCAATTATCTGACTTCCCCCGAATATTGAAAGCTATTTTAAGGGTTTGTGTTCATTAGTAAAGGAGCACTTCACTCAAGCTTGCCAATAATAAAGTACACAGACAAACAATGGTGTGGGTTTTCACCATTTTTCCCCTTGTCTGTGTGGAAATATTCTTTTTTAAATTATTATACTATTTATATTCTTAGTTATTGAAAGTTAAGTTTGAGAGCTCCACCTTGTGTCTGTTTCAATTTCCATTTATGTAAAAACGTAGATCTTAAAGTTATTGTCAGTTACATACAGTTTGTTAAGAGAGAAAAGCACTCATTAAACCCGCCCATGTTCACTGCAGCTTCCTGATTGGTCAAAATTAATTCCGCCAGAAAATCTCACTGATCGTAATAATGTCAAGGGGAAGGACTATTTTAAATTTATGATTGTTGAAAAATACTTACTGTACACATAGTACATGGTCCCAGAGTCAGAAATGCACATTATATTAAAAATGAAATACAATTTAAGCTGCTGACATCACCTTTAAAGGATTAATTTTATATTTGGAACTTGGTGACAAGGTTGAAGACTTAATAGTTTTTAAAATGAGGTATTGAAATAGTCCCTTACGCTCTTGTGGGTGTAGTCATAGCCATCGATGTTGAAGACGGGCAGGACGTACACATCCATCTGGTTGAGCAGGCTGGTCATCTGAGCGTCGCTGCCATAAGTGGACAGAGCCTGGCAAAGGGACAAGGATCTCTGTTTGTAACGTCTGTGCACAGATTGGACTCTCATGGTGTTTGTATTTCTCAAATGTCATTTCCCACCTCCTTCACAAACCACTGGCAGAAGGCAGGGGAGATCCACTCTCTGGCGTGAATGCCACAGTCCAGGAAGATGGCGTTCTTAGCCACGCTGGACTTCTTCCCGAGCTAGAGTTGTACATATTAACATTATTAGGACATCGCATCATGTCAAATGATATTCAAAGAGAGACATCTTTTTTAGCTTTAAACCATGTTACAACATAGTCACCTTGTCAAAAACAGACAGAGTTGTTTTTAGATGCATGCGTGCTAATACAAGGAACATTATGATAAAAAGTTCCTGCCTCAGTACAGAAAAAGTGTGACGTCATTGACCCACTATGACATCATTTTCATAAAGCCTTTTAAAGTAATGAGCCTTAAATTATTTTTGATGATTTCTCAAGTGAAAATATGTTCTTTGTGATCAATTGACTGAGTTTGTCAAATTTGAAAAAAAAAAAAAAAAAAAAAAACAATTTCTACACCTCCCTCTGGTGGATACTTAAGGTTATGGCAGGCCAATAGCATTATTTGATTGTATTATTTTTTATTTACGCTTTTTACTTGTTTAACCATATTTTCTACTGAATATTCACATAGTAAACTATGAAATGACAAAGTAACTGTACATTTAAAATGATTTTGCTGTTTGCATACCTTGAGGATGGTCATGGGGCGTCCCTCGTAGGTGTTTCCGATCACTTGTTTGCTGATGAGATTGGCGTTGGAGGAGGCGATAGAGTTAATCCAAGACTGGACCTGAAATTCAAACAAAAAATATGATCTCCAATGCATTATTAGCATTTGATAGCGTTTCAAAGCAAATTATTATCCATAGCTGGTTCCTTACAGTGTTCCAGTTGTTGTATCTGGTGTAGCTGTGGGCTCTGGGGGTAGGGCCACTGTCGCGTTCACGGTTCACAGCTTCCTCCAGGTCTTCAATGAGGATTCTGTACATAATATTGTCTTAACTTTGACCGACAATAAAATAATTAAAAATTGATACACTGAAGAACTAAGTGGAGGAAAGAGAGTGATGCCTCTAACACAGTCGCAGTAGTGGGAGAGAGGTGTTGGGTCGGAGAGTGTTTGGTATGTTGCCTTGTCCTTCACCATGTCTGATATTGCTGGTATAGCAACTGGTTTTGCTTTTGTATTGTTTATTCGAATATTTTTTCTCCAAATCATTTTGCCTCATCCAACCTCTTTCCAAAATGGCGTCTGCTTCTTTGTTCTGTAAAATTGTGTTGTACAGGTTTTTAAATACCTTGATTGATTAAATAAGGTAATATAATAATAATATATAGCGCTTCTTGGACACTCAAAGACACTTCACATGTAATTTTTGCAAAATGATTCACTCATATATAGTGGTGATAAACTACTTCTATAGCCACAGCCGCCCCGGGGCTGACTGACAGAAGCGATACAACCAGTGTGTGCCCCTACAAATGCCATGAACCATTCAGGCACAATCCAGACTCATTCTAGGCAATGTGGGTGAAGTGTCTTGCTTAAGGACACAACAGTAGTTTGGCACTTTTGAGACCGCCCCACTATGTTCCCAGAGCTCTCCCATCACAGTACTTACCTGCCCTTCCCTGCTTAGCTTCAGAGGCAGGACTAATCTACACTTCGGCATGTGTTATGGCTTACTCATGCTCCATATCGCTCTGGTGCAGTTTGGTGCTGACCATGTCCAGGTACAGGGCGGGCACATGGATGTCCACGTCGATGTCGATGGTCACCAGCTGAGGACTCTCGGGTCTCCAGAAGTCCACCTGCAGAGGACGCCAAACAAAAACACTTCTTGTTCACATCTGGTTCAGACTTAAAGAAACTACAAATGATGGGTGATGCCGAGGGACTTAAAAGCATGATCAGACAGTCCAATTGAATGTGTTTGCCCATTAGCAGAGCGGTTTGACCCCCGTAGAGAGTGAGGATAGCACTGAAGGTGGGGGAGTGTGAGTGTACCTCCATGCTGTCAGCCAGCTCTTTAATGAGGGTCACATGCTCGTCAAGCACAGGCTTCAGACGGAAGACTTTATCTCTGAGGAAAAGCACATTCTGACTTCATATTCACACGTCAAGTATGGATAATTAAAGATAATAATAAATAATCATATTTTCCATATGGAAAGTGCACCTAATAACAACCGTATGGGCTATTAAAAACCATTGTGTGTATTGTATTGTTAAACGCATTATTTTGATAAGACTAAAGACTGAGCAGTTTAGATTATAGTTCCAGGGGTTTTTTCCTCTGAATATTGACATAATGCCATTAATCAAAATTGTGTTTTGACTGCTAATATTCATGAATGACGGTAACAAATGTATAATTTCTCATAAGTTCAATTATCTGCACATTCTCATTTACATGAAAAAGAAGGCTACAGTAATGAATAGACTGTTACTTGCTGTGCGTCTTTTACAAAAAATAGTTGATTTCTCATTAAAAGTTTGAAGGCCAAGTAAATTAAAACTTGGAAAGACAAATGAGAAGGGTGACCTATACCCAAACCATTGTGTTTTAATCTGACACTCAGCAAGCTGTCTTTCTCACTATGTGATTGATGCTAATCACAAAATCATGATTGCACGTCTTTCTTAAATTGCACTCTCTAAAACCAAAAACACAACTTACCCCTCAAAGTGGGAGTTTTGGGCCAGGGCAACAGCCACCAATCCAAGCAGCACAAGGACCTTCATGTTGGCAGTGAGGCTGCTCCCACCTTTGAGTGGCTCTTATAAGGCCCAGGGCAGCACCTGTCCACCAATCCCCACGGCCTCAGCACAGCGTCCAGACAACCTCCCCAAAGCGATACCACCAGGACACCTGCTACTTTTAGAGCTTCCAAATCTATGGTTAATCATTGAAAACTATTCTTTGAGTCCAAATGAAGTTATTAATAAGAATACCACAATATTCTTTTATTATTTGACATTTTATTGATATGTCTTTAAACACTTTTAATTGTACACTTGAACGTAGAAAATACAAAAACACCATTAAATATCACAAATACATCCACCATATTAAACATTTATTTAACCGTATTTACATGTGACAATCTATAATTAATGTATTATTATTTCTATTTTATTACATTGCATCATATTTCAAACAACATCTTTATATACATTATACAGATCACAAAACATTAGAATATCCTTCACATCATACTGTATGTTGTTTTGAACAATGCTACATGTATCACAGCCTGAGCAAGAATGACTGCATGATGAAGTGTCATTTCATACATGTTGTGCACAATAATTATATTGTCATTAAACTACAACAAAACGGAGTGCCATCAAGTAATTCTTTACATGCAAACATTTTTCATATGGGTTAAGTTCTTTTGATCAAAACACTGCATTACAGATGATTGTAGTTGGGATCTTCCACAGGCCTAAGGAGAGTATGCAGCATGAATGTGACGTAGTGTGTATATTGGTGAGGAAGGACTCAGCTCACAGACAACATTGCAGAGTGAAGAGCATCAGTCTCAGCTCGGGTCAGTGCTTGGTTTAACAGTTGGGGCTTTAAAACAGACTCTTCCTATCGTTACGTGTTACCGCGCTCAAACACTTATTCTCATTTAATGTCAGATGAAGACTTGTATTTGACGGTCAGGCTGAGGGCCTCGGAGGCTCTGAAGGAGAGAGCACTCATTTTGGAACTGATGCTGGGATGAGCTCCGCGGATGTTAGCGGGAGCACAGTGCAGGAGACGCACCAGGTTTTTACGGAAGTTACGACCAACAAACCCGTACACAATGGGATTCACACAACTGTTGAAGTAGGCGATGCAGATGGAAAAGGGCATGGCCGTATCAATGATGTCCAGAATGTGACAGTTGTTCAACATTTTGAGCTGGTACAAGAGTTGCATGAAGTGGAATATCTGGTGAGGCACCCAGCACACAAAGAAGGCCAGCACAGCAGCGGCCAGCATGCGCAGCACCTCATCCCGGGACTGCCGGCTCTTCTGGATGTGCCTTGCCCCCAGCAGAGCTCTGCCGATCAGGCAATAGCACGTAATGATGATGATGAAGGGCACCAGGAAGCCCAGCAGGCTCTTCATCACGCTGATGGCCAGCAGCACCTGCTCCAGGCTCTGCACATTGTCCTCTGTGGGGTGCAGGATAGCACACACGGTCACCGTCAGGTTCTGGTTGTTGATATTATGGATGTCTCTGGTGAAGGCTGTGGGCACACTGAGCAGCAGAGCAAACAGCCAGATCAGCACACAGGTGATGCGAGCATACAGCACTGTGCGGAACCGCCGTGACCTCACCGGGTGGACAATGGCCAGGTATCGGTCAATGCTGAGCGCGGTGAGGAAGAAGATGCTGGTGTAAAGGTTAAACATGGCCAGAGCTGCTGTGGCTTTGCATAGGAACCCCCCAAAGGGCCAGTGGTACCCTGTGGCTGTCACTGTGGCCCACATGGGCAGAGTGATGAGGAAGGTGAGGTCAGAAATGGCCAGGTTGAGCACAAAAATGTGAGCCACTGTCTTGAGTTTCATGTAACAGTATATGATAGCCACCACCATGCTGTTTCCCACAATGCCAATGATAAAGTTACAGCCGTAGACGATTGGCACCATGGTGAAAATGAAGTCATGATTTCCAGACAAGCCACAGGTCAGGTTGATCCTGTCACTTTCTGCTCCAGAGGTTACATTCTCCATCTTGTTTTAGTGTCAAATCAGGAGTAATAGGGAGGCCCTGTCGGCAGGGTGCGTCTGCGCTGACGGATATAGGCCTTGGGCGAAGGCCTCGGCGACTCCTATAAAAGAAATAGAGCAAAAATGTCACATGCAATCTCAGGGAAGAACCTTCATTAGGAGTGGCACGGCCCATAAACACTAATCCACACGAGCACCCATCAAAGTGCTCACCCTACACCAGCTCATTAAGGACGCAGACATTAAAGCTATCCTGACGCTTTATGTTATTTATGTAAAATAAGACACCATTAAAAACAGATGTTGTATGTTATTCAATATTCCAGAAATGCTCCTTAAAACATTACTCTGACAGTCTGCATTCTGCCTCCTCCTTTAAAAGCTCACTGGGCTAATAAACGGCACCAGTAAAACGATACAGTGTTTTTGTCAAATGGCCCGTCCATCTGGGTGGACCGTGCGCACTCGGAAGGAGAACCGTTATGCCTTGTGTTATGACCTGTGTTAATGAAGAGTGCCTGGCAAAGTGCGGGCTCAGATAACAACACCATTAAACACGGAGGTAGTGGAGAGAGAGCTTAGGCTGCAGTCACTGTAAAAGACATGTCACGTTTCCAACCCTGGGTGAGCACAGATACATTGTACACAGCATGAGAACTTCTAATCAGCACACACCTAAACAAACACGACAGCGGGGATTCTGCTCCATGGAAACTTTGCTCTGTGAGAAAATCAAACCTGCCTGCTACTGCACCAAAGAGGCCTCAGGGCATTTTGTGCTTCATTTGTAGCAGACGAGCTGAGATAAAAAATAACTCTTGTCTCTTTTTGGGAGTCTACAGAACAGCCTCATTAGCTCAGTTAATGCAATAATATTAGCACAAGCCTTTATTGCAATTATTAAGTTAAGCTAAGTCGGGTATATTTGTGCTAGTCTAAATTGAGGCGACATTATTAAAGTTGAAACCTGAAGGAAAGAAAGTTTCTTCAACAGTTACTACCAGTTTATTCCTGATTTGAGTCCTGACTAGAACCAGGAAGTATGACCACATTAGTCCAGTTCTCAGGTCTCTGCACTGGCTCCCTACAGCTCAGAGAATAGACTTTAAAGCAGCTCTGTTTGTGTACAAGTTTCTTCCTGGCCTTGCAAAAAGTACATCTGAGACATATGAATCATATGAACTAACTCAGACTCTGAGGAGCACAGAGACTGGCCTCCTGCTGGTAACCAGAGACAGGACTAAACATGGGGAGCCAGTGTTTCCGATGCTTTTATTCTTTTGTTAAGCACTTTGAACTGATTTGTGTATAAACTGTGCCATACAAAATAAACTTGCCTTGCCTTAATTCTGTACATAATGGCTGTACATAACTTTCTGTGACGGACCCTAACAGGCCACTGATGTTAAGTGTTCCATGCTACATATATTTGATCATTTTAAATATTGCATAATTCCATTGTTTACATCTATATGAATATAATAATAATAATAATAATAATGCATCGGTTTTATATAGCGCTTTTTTGGACACTCAAAGACGCTTCACATGTGTCATTATTCATTCACTCCATACACGGTGGTGATAAGCTACTACTGTAGCCACAGCTGCCCTGGGGCACACTGACAGAAGCGAGGCAACCAGTATGTGCCATCGGCCCCTCCGACCACCACCAACCATTCACACACAAGACTCATTCTAGGCAATGGGGGTGAAGTGTCTTGCCTAAGGACACAACGGCAGTTTGGCACTTTACAGCCGCAGCCGCCCCACTGTGGCTGGTGTTCCCAGAGGTTAAGTGTCTTGCCAAGGACACAACGACAGTAGTCAGTGGGAGTCGATGGTGAAAGTCTTGAGCGGGGCTTGAACCCACGACCTTCTGGCTCAAAGGCCAACGCTCTACCAACTGAGCTACTGCCGCCTGCGGCATATAATGGTGTGTATAAAAGGTGTGTGGAAGCTTGAATACAGTTCCCTTTGTTTCCACAAGATGGCACCCTCTCTTAAATATTTTCATGTGGGTTGAACCCACAACATTGTTGTCTATTTCGAAAACCAAAGTTGTGGTTGTAGTGTAATCTTATGTGATAATACGATGATATAATTATCATTCAAAAGCTTAGAAATAATATTTGGAGTAACTTGAGGAATTTTGAAAATGACTTAATTCATTGCATTCCTCCTCGGCTCTGGGAGGCATTAGGCTGTCTACAGTGATTTTATTTTTACCAGGTTTCTGTATGGATTCTTTGAAAAACCCTGTGAGCGCTGAAGCAACAAGCGTATCAGTTGCAGATGTGGAGGCGCATGTGGACAGAGCGCGGCTGCCAAGGACAACAGAAACATGAATGCAGCCTGGCATGGTAAGTACTGCAAAGCACCAGTGCAGATGTCATCACCGGGATTTTCCCGATGCACTAACGACTTTCACAGGAGCTGGCTGTACATTTAATCTGTCCTTGAGAGACAAGACATGCCATTTATAAGGATTATGAAGAGATAAAATAACTGAGAAGAAAGTGACAGGGAATGCTTCCGACTATAATTGGGAAGGTTGGTATTTAACACTAGAACTCGCAGAGCAGTCACTTTGACAGTTTTGGTTTTGGAAGAGTAATTACTCAGCGTATGTATATTTTTGGTTTTCATAAATGTGACTTTTTTCTGTTTCTATATGTAGTTTATTCTGATGTGATTATTTTTGATGATGATCTTGAATTTATGAAATGTGAGTAGTTCATGGCCACCAACATTCTGACCGGTTCAGAGCCATCTCAGCTTGAAGCCATGTGGGTTACCATAGAAACACACTGACAGCAGATAGCATTTAGTAGCTTCTCAAAACCTGTAATTGTTGTATTTCAAGTTATCTTAACCGTTTTATCATTCATCAAAGATACAAAATATATATAAATTGCTTATTTTGAATGAAAGTAGTGAAAAAATAACTCCGGCTCTGGGAGTTTTAGTAGTTTCAGAATCAAGGGAGCCCTCGTGTTAAAGCAGCAGTATTTTTCCGTGAGGGCAGTGGTTCGTCAATACAAACAGTGACTTATTGCTCAGTGTATGGTGCATGTAAGAACAGCCCATTATAAAGGTCAGGTGGCACAAACAGAAGTCTCGGAAGTCGGTCTATTACCCCGTCTGTGGTGCTAACAGTGAGAGTGATACGCCGCATAACTGAATGATAGCCATAAACTCTGGGTGACCACTGACAGGAAGGTAAACACTGCCTTCACAAGGTCCACGGGCAAAGCTGCATCCTCTCGGACAATGCACCCGCTATTTGAAAACACTCCTCACAATGCTTACATAGAAAGATAAAAATAAGCAAAAGGGAAGTTCTGAGACATTTTTACTGCAGAGACAACTTGGTGACATCATATGAATTTCCAGTCTGCGGAGTATGAGTTTATGCAGCATGAGGGGGTGTGGGGGACTTTGATTGATAGAGGGTGTTGTGTCTGGAATATACATGATTTACTTAAACTCTTCAAACCTAGGCTGAATCTATGTACATGTACAGTAGATCACGGAAAAACGTATTTGATAGTTAGGCTGCCAGAGATGGATTGCATATTGCTTTAGCTGGATACACAGTTTGCATTTCTATCCCATTTAATTTTTCTTATTTTTTCATTTTCTAGTGATCTTAATTTGGAGGCATCAAGCAAGGAAGTGACAAGTATTATTATACAGAAATAATACAAGTCAATAATTACATAAGATTCATACTGATGAGGAATAAAATAAAGTAGGAAGAGGAGGGGGGAGATTCTAATCCGGTTTAAGGCCTTTTCTCTTCTATCTTAAAACTTCAATACCCACAAATGGAACTATATCAGTACTAGTTACTTGCTCTCATCTTAAAGTGTCAAATAGTGACTCTCTCTCACAAGTATGAACAAGATTAAATGCTGAGGGATAAGATACCGACAGCAAGTTGTGAGCTGATTTGTTCACAAAATGTCACTTTTCTGTTGGGACAAAAAACATGTGCTATTTAACTGGTCATTTCTGTAGAAAAAAATTTAGATTATGAAAATAATGGCAGATTATTTGTAGATATTATGGACATGTCTAGTAGCTTGAACATTTTCAGCATCACCAGTGCAGATGTCATGACTGGGGATGTGCTTTTAATTGGTTGTTGCCAAAGGACTGAAAAAATTGCTATTTGCTAAGTGCATGCATTCAAATTATGATTGCCATTCTAGGGGACATTCTTTTGTATCCGCGATTAATCTTGTTGTGCGGGCAAGCCACAAAAAGCCGGAAATTTGAGGTACATTTGATCGGTGAAAGTTGAATACTGTATTGTGCGGAACATTCCCGGCCTCTTTATGCAACAAGCAGGTGAAGGACATTGTAACACTTTTATATATTGTCTTTCAGTGTACTTTAAATTATTTTGTATCTATTTTATTGACTTCTGGTGTAATCTTTGGGAGAGTAAGGCTTCAGTTTACTATTTTTAACAGCCGTCAAATAAACATATTTTCCAGAAGCGTGTTTCTCATCATTGACAACTTGTATGGTGCTCTATTGTGATGGAAAAAAATCGCCCATATTCCAGACTTTACACTACACTCACTCCATTTGGCAAGAAAGTATCGTCCAGTAAAACGTTCTAGCATTCAAAACCCAGTCCTAATTGACTCTGGAAAAAAGCAGCATTCGTTCGGGATCATGGGAATTTCTTAAGGAAAAGTGTAAGGAAGGAAGGAGGCGGGAATGAGCGTATGAGTGAGTGAGGAATTCTAACCAACTCAACTATCTTAGCCGTCTTTGTAAGTGTCCGGACAGAAGCACCACCATCTGGCCGCCCTCAGCGAGCCACTAAATCTCAGCTTCATGGAGTTAATGATTTATACGTGCCCATTATCAAGTGAGGAGTGAATCAGGAGTACGAGGCCCGGATCACTGCGTCGCTCTCCCCACGTCTCCCCTCCCTCAGATCCTTGTCAACAACTGCTTCCTCTGCTCTGTAGCCCCCTCATCCTGTATTCTGATCTGTCTTAGAACACAATGTCATGCACAAAATCCATTTTCAACGCTTGTAGAGCATAGGTGCATTGAGCAATGTTTTAGATCCTACCACCTCCCCCCGTGGCTAAAGTTTCCCTCCTGTACAACAATCAACCTGGGGAACTCTGAGGTTTATTCTCTGTTACATGAATCACACATGTTGATGGTCCATAATAATAGCTGTTGTAGTAAAGAAGAAAGTCTGCTTCCTGTTAGTCTTCATGTGATGGCGTGGTACACATAAAACCCTTTTGGTTTTTTGCATTAAATGTGAAAGAGACAACAGTTGGAGCCATGAAAATGTATAAGATACAGAAGACTGCTAAAATCTACAGAAATAAAAGCAAGAAAAATGTAAGGAAATGTTTGTGGAAAGCCAGGTCATTGTATAGAAAGTGTCCTGGGTTCAGGAGGTCAGGTAGACACTCTGCCTCTCCTGCGCTTAATCTTGAATTTTACAATGTTCAAAGCTGCTGTCAATAAATATTTTTTGGATAATCAATTAATCTAGCAATAATTTTCTCAATTTATTATTTTCTCAAAACGGTTTATTATGAAAGTTTCATTTAGTATGTGATTAATGCTCTGTCTGAGTCTTAAAATCAAATCTCTAATCATGATTTGAAGTTTGTATCAAAAGCATTTGACGGTTATTGAAAAAACTTGATTAACAGATAAAAGAAAATGGTCTCCCTCTTCAATGATACTGGCTTGTATTGGTTTCTGAGAACTTAATACGTTTATCATAAAATATATATAAAATTTTTATAATAGTACAGTTTTCTGCTATTGTTATACATGCTCTACTTCCACTTCTTTTGTGATTTAAACTAATTGATCAAATGAAAAAATATTTGCGGGATTAATTCATTATTAAAATAATAATTTATTGACAGCAGCTTTGAACGTTTTAATACTGAAGATTTACCCTGTAGGCGCAAAAGAAGCAGAATGTCTCCATCTTTATTTTTTGCATCATGGGATGAATGTGCAATTTTGTCTTGATATAATGTGGAATTGTATCAAGACCATCTCTTCTTTAAGCAAAATAACATAAGAAAGTCAAGATCAAGTGCATCCCTTCCTGAAGAGATATAGATGGAAGTCCCAGCAGAAAAAGTGACATATTGTGTGTTTAAAGTGCTGAAAATTTAAATATCTGTCATGTAATCCATTAACCCAGCCTTTGGGGACTTGACTAGTGGTGCTAGCTAATGGAAATATTGGCCCCAGAATGAAGATGGCCTGCATGTTTTGTTTACAAATGTATCTTTTTCATGTCAATTGAAGATTAAACAGAACCAGCTCCTGCTACTGAAAGCACATGCTATCTCCCATAACGATATTTGAGACGGATGATTTGACATTAATAACAAAACAGTCCATAAACTCTCGAAGTCTATTTGATGGAGAAGATTGTCTGAACAGGATTAGAGTTAGGATTAGACCATTTAGTATTACGTCTTCGCCGCAACATATTTCCCACGTCTGTTGCCCTAAAATGACTGCATGTCATAAGCTTTCTTCCTCTATACCACATGCGTTGTCTGGCTGAGGATTAAATTTCTCATACATGAAGATTTCCAGAGGTTAATGTTTATTGGAGACTGGACTGACTGAGTTTCGTAATACAATTTTTGGCTTGTCATACATAGGCTCCGTAAACTCTATACAGCCATGTAGCAACTAAATAATTACAATGTGCAACAGGTGGCACTAGTTACAACCCCGCCAGAAGGAAATATGCGTGATTCAAGACATTGTTGTTGCTTTTATGAATTAAATAATATGTGTAACTTAGCTCTATACATCTAAACACCTAATGAAAGTTGTTTAAAGTGTCTGTAATGAGAGTTCTTACCTGAAATGCAGAACCAAAAGCAGTTGTTTCTTAGGGAAGACAGCAACAGGACGACCACCACCTCTGTGCCACTGACCGCTCCGGATCCAACTTAAGTGGTGGAGCGAGACGAGCAGGAATACGCCTGACACACAAAAATACAGCCCCCTCCTTCATTCAGCGCACACACACACACACACACACACATAAGGAGAAGGCAACATCTCACACCAGCCGGCACAGCATTGTCCGTTTGTGCCTCTCTCTCTGCAGGGCACAACATAAACAGCATGTTACACAAGAAGTCCCCTGTGTGCTATAGTCTGGGTCTTCCTTTCTCTGTCACAGAAACATGGTGTTCTGCTATTATTGGACTCATCTGAGACTAGTACACAAGTAACTCAAGTATAAGTACTTCAATACAATTATATTCATGCGGCGGTTTTTAGACAGACTACTTTAACTTGAGAGTAATATTTAACAGTGTGTACATTCCTCCTTTTCCTGTTTTCTTCCTACTTGACTATTAAATCACAATCGCAAGATCCTTCAGATATGAAGATGATTGTCTATTTTTTGTTGCCTTTTAACCTTTTGTCATAATTGCTTCTCAAAGCCTATGACTCAAGGGCACTTTCTATACAGCGGTCAGGTTTCCCACATTTGTTTTATTTCGTCATATGTCTTGAATGATTTTATTTACTTTACAAATGCTGGTTTTAAGCTGCCCTCTTACCTCTTACAAACTACCAGTGCTCCACATGTTGTTGTTAAATTTCTCACAAAACTCTGGCATCTAAAAGTGAGTAAATGATATTGTTTTTGTTGATCCGATGACATTCAATAAAAAAACAAGAGCAGAAGTTCCCTTGAATACAATTTCAATTTACCTCGCGCGATATGTTTTGATATATCTATCTGAAAATTCTTCTCTTAATCATGGCAGAGCTGCTGTGAGGCCCACACGTGTGTTATTGCAACAGCCACGTAACATTTGAATAAACTTACTTTTATGACGTTTGCCTGTCTGCGTTACCGCCGTCATGTCTCACCCTAAAACAAAGACTGTCCCGAGTCGCTGCATAAAAGGAATAGCCCACTGTCTGATTGTGACTGGCCCTGTCAACACTTTATTAATAGCAGCTGCCCTTCACTTGCATTAGTTGGTATCTAGGGCTTAGGAAATGGGAGTACTATGCTTGGCCTATTCTTCTGGAGCCTCCTACGCTTACTGCAAGGGCACAATTTTGATTTTTTCACGTAGGCTTTGTGAATTGAAGGATGTAGTGAAACTAGATTGTTAGGTGGTGACTCTGCTGATGACTCCCCAACCTACCACTTACAAACAATATGGGAAATGTAAACTGCACTTTCTGCGATCATGCTAATTATTTTGTATCTATTTATGACTGTTGTCACCCAGCATCAGGAACAGGTTTGTACTAAAGATATTTGCCTCTCACTATTCTTCTCTTCCACCAGGTCATGACAGGTGATGAGAATGGGCTCAGCTCTGCCCTCCACGGCCTGTGATTTCACATGTCACAGAGATGGATAGTGACGGATGATGTGGTCCGACTGCCATGCAGCCAGTTTCAGTGTGGCTGGCGAAGAAAGCTCCCCCCGTACTTGAGGGTAAACAACAAAAGAAAGGAAAAACAAACATTTAGGACTAAGTGGTCTCGTTTGGTGGCTTTTGCTCAACCAGGTGTAGCTTGCTCATTGAAAACCAATCACATTCCCTGGGCTTTGAAAGTAGCACACAGCTCAAAGGTCACATCGGTTCAGCAGGTTCATATTGTGTGTTTACTAAAAATACCAAGTATACAGAAATGGCCTCATAGCTCATGTTTAAGATGGTCTGCTTTAAAAGAAGGAACATCGCTTCTGTTGTTCATGTCAGATAGTAAGGGAAACAATCACACCTACAGGCCTCATGATCTGATCAATGATATTCTCAAATATCATTCAGAGAATGATAAGAATCACATATTATCCTGTCACAGCACTCAGTGGCCCCTCAGCGTCCCCAGATGTAAATCTATCTATATCTTACCCAAGAGGCCCATCAGGAAGTGAAGAGAGAGTTAAGCATCAACTCTGTAATATGCCTGTACTATTTTGCAGATAACTAATAACTCTGTGCAGGGACAGGATGTTGTTGCAACACCACTCGCTACACGCTGGCTTTGAGCAGTCACATGTAAGATGAAACACATGTTGATTTAAATATACATCTGCATCTTGTACCTTTGTAGAGCCGTTCTGTTGTCTTCTCTTGGGGTGGCGTATGGCCAAAGTATAACTTCATCTGTTGGGAATGAACAAGTTTTGTGCAACAAAAACTTCCAGATTGTTTAAAAATGCATATTGTGTAATATCTATGAATGTGTTGTAACCAAAGAATAAGCCATGGAATAGTGCAATCTATCAAGTGCAGTGAAATCCATCAGCAGAGATGTGGAGGCCAGTAAGAGGACATGGCTGCAGCACACCGCTTATTACACCCTGGAGGTGTGATTGTGGCCAATGTGCCTGCTAATCCGATCACGCTAACCAGATTATCAATGATAGCACTTAAGCTATATTAGAATGAATTGATGACTGGAGTAATTACCGGCAGCAGAGATCACAGAGAGAAATTATTGAGCAAAACAGCAGACAGTCAAATGCCAACCCCCATTGCACCTGCTCAAGAGGCAAGCATGTGAGCTCAGGTGACACACCTTAAATCCTCAAATATGCCATCAAAGGCTGGACTATAAGGGCTCATGAGTCTGTCAATCATGATTACTACCATATACTACTTCATTCTATAAAGATATTTCAGAAAACCTAACAATCCTGGAATGAATAAACAGTAGGTTATTGGTGAATGATTTCCAACAACCACAAAAACCTGTTCAGCACCTCTTCAGCTCGTGTCCAGGCAATTCTCATCGTCAGGATTAGGGCCCCTGGGTGCCGCTTAGTTCCATTTGGCTGGCGGATGGGAAGAGGCAAATATCAATACAAGTTTGGACGCTTAAAGATACACTTAGTTTCAATGTAGGTTTGAACATAATTTCCAGCAGGAACATCCAGGTGGAGTCCATTATGTATCAGTCCCATGCACTTTTGTTCTTTGGTGTAAGTTACACCTGTATTTGACAGAGCAGAACATATCCGCGAAATGTTGATAGGCCGTTGTGTAACTAACTTTACCTTAAATGGAATTGCCTGAAATCTTGGTCTTGTCGAATGATGTCTCTCTGGGGAAAGTCTGTCAGTCTGGGATAAAATATTTCAATAATGTAGCCTAATAAATTGAGAATAGCCAAACGTTTGCTTTGACTGGTGTTCAGAACTTCAGATATATTGACAGACAATAATTGACCTAAAAGCGTGATGAGTGTGAATGTTTACTCAATGTGATTTTACATTTAGAATACTTCTGGTCCATATAACCGTGGTCTTGATCACGTTTTGCATGGCACATCGGCCCAACATAAAAAAAAAACAAACCAAGATACATCCTTACCTGAACAGCTGTTCCAAACATAGACTGTATTGTTCCGCCATGTTGGCGCGGGTCTGCCGCGGGTCTGACCCGGGTCTGACCTGTCTGTTTCCACCTGAGAGCCTGAGAGAAGCTCCATTTCATCATCACGGTAAGAAACATCTGTCCTCAGCGATACCCATAGACATTCAGCCACTTCTATGTCCTCAACCGTGGAAAGAGTAAGACACATGTTGTTGCTAGCACACTGCTAAGATGCTAGCAACAAGATGCTACATATTACTGGGAACAAAGTTTGGTTTTGAGTTCAATATCAAATTCGTGTGGCTTTTAATCTGACGGTGGAACCTTTAGCGTTTGATATCATAAGTCTTGTTTCCACTAGCCCTACTTAGCCCTACTCTACTCGGCTCTACTGCCACCGATTGGCGGCGTTTCCACAAACCCTGGTGTAGCTTGGCCCTGGTTATGTTCAGGCCAAGTTGGTACTTAAGTGTTCTAGTTGTCGGTGATTGGCCAGTGTGCTGCTTGAAGCCATGGTTACCTCGGAATTTAACTGGATACTGGTCTGTTGTGAGTAGGTTACTAGGATACAGTACCAGATAATAAAGCATAATGGAAAAGCAACCAGGTAGAGTTGAGCCGAGAAGGGCCAAGTAGAGTAGAGTAGGGCCATGTACTAATTAATTAATTAGTATGAATAATACCTTGCATTTGTCACAAGTCCTGACACATTGAGTCTTGTCCATGGATGTATTATATTATTGAGTTGTACAATAGTAACATAACCACAAAATGGTGTCTTCATCTCATTAAAAAACATGTGGTATTTTGCATACATACCATAGACCTATGGTATGTATGCAAAATACCACATGTTTTCTAATCTGCATACACAAGAACACTGTTGACTATTTGGGCTGAGAGTTGATTGGCTGAAAGAGGATGTTCCTCTCTTTTTCACTGATAAAGCTGATGTTACAGACCTAAAATACATGCATGTGAAACCAGACTGTGTTGAACTAGGAAATAGTTGGATATTAAGATGAAATTCTATTGTGCAAGTTTCAGAACGAACATTCTGATATTATCAATGTATGAATTATATAAAAATGTGTTATGTAAGTATGTAGCCTCAATTTTATAGTTTTATAATTGTTGTTGGCATTATACACCTTCCCCAGGGACAACAGCTGAAAACTAGCTTTGCATCTAATGCTGACACATTTACAGAAATGTTCATTAATGTGTAATTTTTTTTAAGAATACATTTTACTTTTCACATGGGCTACAGAATGATATTTATAGTCATGAACTCTTTTGGCTATTGATCTTTGATTCATTTCTGAATAGACAAAAATATGTTGCTTGTCGATTAGTGTACATGTAACTTTTGTCTTTTTTGATTAATGGACCCAGGAAGGGATCCTAATGGAATCCACATACATCAACAATAAGGCTACTTTGTGATTATGATGCATCCATATCAGGCAGGGGGCTTTGAAGATATAAACATGGTTACCACTGCTCTGGATGCTCCACTAGCACTAGAGACTAGTCTAATGTGACTTTAACAAGGCTTTTATTTTCTGTTTGCTGTGGAGGTGTCAAGGACAACCCATGCACCCTTCTGTGCAGCCAAGGCTCAGAAAATATTTACAGCTCTCTTACACTATAGACCTTGTTAGTGTTTTCGCCGCAGTCTAAATGGGATCTGTGTGGAGGGGGATGAAAGGAAAGTGGACAGTTGGTTTCCAATATCCAGACCCAGTGGTGTGTGTCGTCCTATATGCCCGAGATGGGGTCTGGAGATTAAATCCATCTGAGCATCATGGAAAGCACTGACCTTCAGTTCAGTGGGACCATGTAAAATTATGTGGACAGTACACTCCTCCTGGTCGGAACCACATACAGATATGTCAAGGAAAACAACTGTATTAGACAAACAGGATGTGTGCAGAGATCGGGGGAAAGTTGTGGGAAGGATGGTAGTGGGCCCCTCAGAGCCACATTGTTTAGGTCTGCTCCCCAAGGTTGCATTTGGACAAAAAAGGGAGGGATGAGAAAATGCTGAAAGTTTTGAAGGATGATATTCTGGCCCATTATATGATAAGGATAAAGTTAAAATGGTTGAGTCATGCTGCCGTGTTCGGTTCTATCTTTTAGCCAAGGAAGCTTTATAATATGAACTAATGGAAGAGGGTGAAGTAATGTTGCCTCAAAGCAAGGAAGTGAATGTGACTCTTCACAACGTATTTCCTATATTGAAAACATTTGTTATGCCATTGGAGATTTCTCAGAAACACATATAGAAGTAAACACATAAATGAAGAGAATGTTTGTTTTTTAAGAGCAGGCTCAAGGCGGAACTTTTTTGATCAAGCTTTTTCGAGTATTATATTTTGGTTGTATTTATTCTAGCTATGATAGTTCATAGTCATTTTAAGCTCCACTTTATATAGTTTTTTGATGCGTAAACGTTTGTCACGTGGCGTGAGATGAAGTAGGACCCAAACGCAGGAATGCAAAAAAAAAAAGATTTAATAAAATAAAGTCCAAGGTGGAAACAAATCACAAAACTCAACTAGAAATGGTACAATGGCTGAAGCCATTGTGAGTGGCTGCATAGATGTTGGAAGGGTTAGGGATGAAGAAGGAAGAGAAAGGGGAAGAAGGAGGAAGAAGGAAGAAGTTGAAAGAAATAAAAGAATAAAGAAGAAAAAGAAGAAAGAAAAGGAAAGAAGAGGAAAGAAGAAGAAGAAGGAAGAGGATGAAGAAGGAGGAGGGAGGAAGAGGAAGCGGAAGAAGGAGGAAGAAGGGGAAGAAGGGGGAGAAGGGGAAGAAGAGGAAGAAGGGGAAGAAGAGGAAGAAGAGGAAAGAAGAATAAGACAAAGGAAGAGGAGGAGGAAGGTGAAGAAGATGAAGGTGAGGAAGATGAAGAAGAAGATGAAGTAAGAAGAATGTGTTGTAAGGTGTTGAATTTGTTGTAAAGTGCTAAATGTGTTGTAAGGTGTTGAATTTGTTGTAAAGTGCTAAATGTGTTGAATTTGTGTTAATTTGTTGAATTTGGTGAAAGCGTTGAAGAGTTGAAAAGTGCCAAAATCTAGAAGAAGAAGAAGAAGAAGAAGAAGAAGAAGAAGAAGAAGAAGAAGAAGAAGAAGAAGAAGAAGAAGAAGAAGAAGAAGAAGAAGAAGAAGAAGAAGAAGAAGAAGAAGAAGAAGAAGAAGAAGAAGAAGAAGAAGAAGAAGAAGAAGAAGAAGAAGAAGAAGAAGAAGAAGAAGAAGAAGAAGAAGAAGAAGAAGAAGAAGAAGAAGAAGAAGAAGAAGAAGAAGAAGAAGAAGAAGAAGAAGAAGAAGAAGAAGAAGAAGAAGAAGAAGAAGAAGAAGAAGAAGAAGAAGAAGAAGAAGAAGAAGAAGAAGAAGAAGAAGAAGAAGAAGAAGAAGAAGAAGAAGAAGAAGAAGAAGAAGAAGAAGAAGAAGAAGAAGAAGAAGAAGAAGAAGAAGAAGAAGAAGAAGAAAATCCAAAGGAACAGAAACAGGACAGAACTTGACGAGGCAACACAACGAACCAGCAACAAGGGGAGAGGAGCACAGGGTACATATAGACACACACAGACACAGGTGAAACACATTAGGGCGGGGCAGACAATCAACAGGGAACAGGACAGGAAGCAAAACTGAAATGAAACCCACAGAACCAATGTCAAAATAAAACCAAATACAGAAATAAAATCCACACCACGGCAACGTTGGCGCGCAGGTTACGTCCAAGAATAACTGCGATGTTGCCTGTGGGTTGTTTGGGAAGGGGAAGTTATTTTAAAGATTTTTTTGCCTTACATAGACTTAAACATATTGGGCCTCATTCACGAACGGTTCTTAGGAACAGATTTGTACGTAAATCCTACTTACGCGGTTTTTACGAAGAAAGTGGCATTCACGAATATTTCTCGTAACCAGAATTTCACTTGGGCAAGTACAAATCCTACGAGTCCTCAGGAGCACTCGTACGCATTCAGTGCCGACATGTTCACACGCCGGGGTTGTCCTCTTTGGTGAAGTTGAATAAAAATACAACATTCCAGTGATATGTCCGTCATATCGATGTATGTATTTATTTATTTGTAGTAATCTTTATTAGTAATCTTTATTTATATACCGCCTTTTTCACTGCAGATCTGGCCTACTTTTTAATTCATTTTGAAATGAAATGTGCCAACGCTTTATCAAATACATTGGAAATCTTGCCGTGTATTAGTGACCCCTTCCTATTTATAGGGGGCATTTCTTTATCCACGGGCCACAGAACAACGGCATATATACTGCTGCTGCAGGAGGTTACTGGGTCCGCGCTGAGTCTCTGCGCTGGTCTCTCCTATGGATCTATACGGGTCTGCACTGGTCTCTCCCATGGATCTATACGGGTCTGCGCTGGTCTCTCCCATGGATCTATACGGGTCTGCACTGGTCTCTCCCATGGATCCATACGGGTCCGCGCTGGTCTCTCAAGTCTGGTCTATGCGGTCTCTCTTCGGTCGAAGTTATTCGTGAATGAGGCCCATTGAGAAGAGGTTTGAGAAGAAAATAGTATCTTTAATCAAACAACCCAATTTGTAATGAGTCATCTCTAGGAAGATGTTCTCCAGGGAGTTTGACTTGAGCTTTGGTTTTGTCAAATGTAGAAAAAAATTCCCATATTCATTGACCTTTGGGTCAATACAAACAATGGGCCTCATTCACGAATAACTTCGTAAGAAACTACTCAACTTTCTTCTCAAGTTGTCCTTAAGTAGATTTCTAAGAAGTCCCCACGTGGGATTCATCAACGCACTCGTAAGCCGCTGAATTGTTCGCAGCTGTTCTCTCAGATTGATGAATCCCATTTCCTCGTAAGTAGAGCGCGCGTGCCAGGTGCTTCATTAGCATAGGTACTTAGCATAAGTAACCGCCCACTAATGCCCATATAAGGGACTGCAGGGCCGTGTGCAGACGGCAGAGGAAACAGCAACAGGCCTTTACACGGAGCAAAAGTCACCCTTTTTTCTTCTTTTACCAGACTGAGAATAAAGTTATAAAATGTTGACTTAAAATTCGAAATATTATGATAATAAAGTCGAACTAGCAAAATTATGAGATTAATCTAAGAATATGATGAGATTAATCTCAAAATGTTATGAGCTTAATTTAAAAATATATTATGTATTATTTTAAAGATGAATCTCAAAATGTTTTGAGATTAATCTCAAAATATTTTGGACCCTGGGAGGAGATCCAGCGCGGACCAGCGCTGAGACCAATGCAGACCCGAGGAGAGACTGGAGTGACCAGCACACAGAAACCAGCGCTGACCTATAGGAGAGACCGCATAGACTGGAGTGACCTGACTGGAGAGACCGCATAGACTGTAGTGACCTGACTGGAGAGACCGGTGCGCAGAGACCAGCGCGGACCGAAGAGAGACCGCATAGACCAGACTTGAGAGACCAGCGCGGATCCGTATGGAGAGACCAGTGCAGACCCGTATAGATCCATGGGAGAGACCAGTGCAGACCCGTATATGGGAGACACCAGCGCAGACCCGTATAGATCCATAGGAGAGACCAGCGCAGAGACTCAGCGCGGACCCAGTAACCTCCTGCAGCAGCAGTATATATGCCGTTGTTCTGTGGCCCGTGGATAAAGAAATGCCCCCTATAAATAGGAAGGGGTCACTAATACACGGCAAGATTTCCAATGTATTTGATAAAGCGTTGGCACATTTCATTTCAAAATGAATTAAAAAGTAGGCCAGATCTGCAGTGAAAAAGGCGGTATATAAATAAAGATTACTAATAAAGATTACTACAAATAAATAAATACATACATCGATATGACGGACATATCACTGGAATGTTGTATTTTTATTCAACTTCACCAAAGAGGACAACCCCCGCGTGTGAACATGTCGGCACTGAATGCGTACGAGTGCTCCTGAGGACTCGTAGGATTTGTACTTGCCCAAGAGAAATTCTGGTTACGAGAAATATTCGTGAATGCCACTTTCTTCGTAAAAACCGCGTAAGTAGGATTTACGTACAAATCTGTTCCTAAGAACCGTTCGTGAATGAGGCCCAATGAATTGATTATTTAAAAGAATATCCAGTATTTTCAAAGTAATTGTTTATTACAACCCCAGTGTTATCCGATACTTGCAGTGTATTTGGAGCCCTGCGCTGCCCAGACCTGTGGGTGCGTGTGTGCGTGTGTGTGTATGCGTGTGTGCGTGTGTGTGTGTACGTGGGTGTGTGAGGCGCTCACTCTCAGCTTTTTGGCCTGCTCCTATCCCAGCAAGCCTTTCCTTTCGTAAACAGCATGTGGACAACTCTGTGGTAGCTTTCTCACCCCTGACCCCTGTGTAGTACAGTCACATGTTTGTCAGGAAGCATAGAAAGAACAACATTTAAAACATTTACAGTACAATAATATGACAATTTTACCAATTAAATATGCAAAGTTGTAGTGTATGTTCTGTACCTGGACCCCTGGGTTACGCTGGTGCTTGGGGAGTTCAAACTCAGCTGAGTCAATAGGCCTGAGGCCCTGCACACATAAACACACGTATACACACATATACACACACACAGTCCTCTGGGGACTGGGTTACTGCGCCATGCTGACCATGTTTCGTCATAATCTCATCCCTGTCCCAACAAACAGTGCTACAGTCTTTGACAGATGTGTTTTGAGGACACTCACTCACAAACTGCCATATGGAAAATAAATATCCTTCTTTATGAACCGTTATCAAAACTAAAAATTCCTGAGGCTCTCTCAGGGTGACGACGTATAGCAGTTGTTTTTCGTCAGTTTGGGATCAAATGCCTCAGCCTGATATTGAATACCAGTGGATGTAGACATAACATGTCATTTTTATCATGCCTCTATATGGTTTGCTTCATTCTTGGGACTTTGGTAAGTTTGGTTTTTGGCCAATGATAGATTTTGTAGGTTTGGTTTCTTAAGGGCGGCACGGTGGCTGAGTGGGTAGCACTCTCACCTCTCAGCAAGAAGGTCCTGGGTTCGAATCCCGGTCGGGCCAGGGCCTTTCTGAGTGGAGTTTGCATGTTCTCCCCATGTCTGCGTAGGTTTTCTCCAGGTACTCCGGTTTCCCCTACCACTAAAAATATGTGCAATAGGTCTAGCATGCGCCTCCTGTTCGGCGACCCCGCTCCCATCTCTGTGTGGAGTGAGAGGACAAGTGCCCAAAAAATAACAATTGTAAACCGCTTTGTGACTCTGGTCTGTGAAAGGCGGTATATAAATAAAGCTTACTTACTTACTTACTTACTTAAGCTGCCAGAAAAGCTTTCCATGATTCACGTAAGGTGAACATTTATTATACTATTTACATCACATTTACCAGCACTTGACTATAACAAAGCTGGAGGGGTTGCATTATTTGTCAACTCGTCTGAAATGTATTGTGGAAGATGGCTGTGGCTGTGATGACTATGGCTGTAGATAACATACTTGAATAAACATATACTTGTCTAAGTTTGTGTTTATTCTAGCCACTAATTGTGTATATTACATACAGTCCCTCTAACAAGCAAACCAACCAAAATAAACAATGCCACTGATATATTCCCACAAGTTATATAATGGAGTAAGGAGAAACCACTGGGTTATTCTCATTCCACAAGGCACACTGGGCCTTGTAATATAGTACATTATTGGACTACAATAAAATAACAGTGCTAGATAAATCTGTAAAATATATGTTATTAAGTTGTCAAAGAGCCAGATATGCAAGTATTTTACTGTAGATGGTGAGAACATGGCGGATGTGGCCAACTGTTTAATAATTTCTTAGTCAATATTGGATCGGATTTGGATAAACAAATAGCAGATGTGGGAAATGATGCAACGCTCCACGGTAGAGAGATTTCTATGTTCTTTGATTGATGCTGAAGAAACAGAAGGTATAATTATACATTTGTCAAAAACAAGAAAAACAACCTCAGGTGACTGTGGTGAGATTGACATGATAAATGTTATTGAGGGTGTTTCAAATCCACTGATTGACTGTAATTTTTTTTTTCAATCGTTTCCTTATCAAATAAAAAAAAATAGCTGAAGTGATTCCCCTGTAAATGTCTGTAAAACATTGTGCTTTTAGCTGGAAATCAAATATTCAGAAAAAGTTGGTGTGGGTTTAGTTTAAATAGGTCAACTGCACTAGAACCAGAAAAATCAGTTATTGTATGAGAGGTGTGTTTATTGTTGCTGTATGCATGTATAATAAGAACCATACTTTAGTTGTCACTGTGATTTCTGCTGCAGAGGCAGGTGATGGAGGTGGGTGCTGTGTGGAGGGTGGCGTTTTCTTTCATTTTTCTTTTACATTTAGGGCTGAGTGCAGCATTGGACTTGGACTTATGCTTCACAGCAAGAAGGTCTGAAGTTTGTTTCCACCTTCAGACTGGGCCTTTCTGTGTGGATTTTGTATGTTCTCCCTTTGTCTGCGTAGGTGTCCCCCGCGTGCTCCGGTTTCCGCCAGGTGCTCCAGATTCCCCTACCACTAATACGCCAGGTGTTCAGTGTCTCACTTCTGTCAACACAGTGTGTGGAGCATATAAAAATGACCAATATGTCAAAATTGTAATTGTTTTGTGGGACCTTGTATGGTGAAATGTACTTCATAAATAAAGATTACTTGCTACTTACTGTTTCAGGGAAATACAATATAATATAAGAAATTATGTACTGCATTGATCATAGTTGTCCCTACAGATGTCTATATAGGACACGAGTAGCACATCAACTTCAGGCCCCGTTTATATGGAGACAATGTGGCAGTAAAACGTTATAGTTGGATGTCGGTTGCTACCCCCCTTTCATACGGAGACTGTGTTCCAGGTGGGTGAAAACGTAAGAGTTAAGATCTAGCCTACAGAGTGGGACAGAGCATATACGCTGGTCAGCGGGGGCTCTTTCACACCCGCGTGAAGGAAAAAGGTGTGAATACTTTAGCTGCTCTGACCCCCACGTCCCCGCTGCTCCCCGCACGTAAATTTGGACATGCGCAGTAGCCGAGTACAAACGTAAACAACAATGGCGGCGGGTACACTAACTAGCTATGTGTGCTTCGAGCGCTACACGGAGGAGATTTCTACTCCTTCTTTCGTCCAAACGAAACCACGCGAAGCTCTAGTTTCAGTTTCCATTTTCGCAGCTGCTGGTAAATGCAGAATGATGTCACGTCTTGCAGAGGAAGTGAGTATACTGCTGGGAGGGGGGGTCTCGGGTGTGTTGTGTTGTAAAGTTCCTCTGCCCTCTACTGGCCGGGCGCTAGAACTACATCGTTTTTGATCCTCGTATGAACGCTTTGAAATTTGCATTACATCAGTGGTCCTCAAACTGGTCCTCAAAGAGCAGTGTGGCTGCACTGGTTTTCATGCCAATATTTCACAAGTGAATTCAGTTTTAACCTGAAGACTTGACATGGGTGGAGTCTGGTGTGCTCCTGCTGCCACACTGACTTAAAAAGGTATGGAATTTACTACATTGCCCCGAGGTTTGACAAAAACTTAAGATCAGAGTCGGTAATGTTTCAGGAAATGGAAAATAGAGGTGCATGGTGACAGTAAGTCTGTATAAACGGTTTTTTATGACAGTACAGGCCTTCTGTATTTCTGTACATTTCTTTACCCTATGCTCTCTCTATGTAATTTGTAGTTTCCAAATCTAATTTTGTAACCTCATTGCTTTACACATGTTCATTTTAAAGCAGAGGAATGCTCGTTCATTTTGATAGTGTTATTATTCTTATGATGGGAGGCTTCTAAATTGGTTATGAGCTGCCTGTTGTTTCTTATTTTCCCCTGATAATCACTGAGACATTCGGTGCCCCATGGGTGCTCGTTGTGTGTGTTTCGAGGGTCAGCTGTCTCCCGCTGGGAGAGCTGGAGTGGATGGGAGGAGGAGCACAGCCTAGAGGAAATAACACAGCAGCAGGGAGGCTCATGCCAATCAACGAACGGGTATGAGTGAAACATTAGCAAGAAAAGACTGACGTTCACCATTTCCCAAGATTGTGTGAGCTGACGATGTTACCCCTGAGAGGAAAGAGCTGGTTCATATAGTGTGAATGGCTCTACAGGGTGTTGCATTGTTTGTTCTGGAATATTGGCGACCTCTTTCCATATGTGCCTTTACTTATCTCTTGCATTCAATTTCCTTCTTATTGTTGTTTAGGGCATGAAACATAGTTAGCAGTTAGCACGCGTCACAGCCTGACTCCCTGTGCCCATGAAGACAGGAGGCACCTCGTCACAAGAGATCGCCTAATGAAATGTCTTCCAGGGAGCTTTGTCAATATTATCCTCCTCTCCCCAAAGCTTGCTGATAGTCTAATTTCACTCACTTTCCTAATTAATCAGCGAGGAGTGCAGAAGGCTGAGGCATGAGGACAGAATAAGTGGACTGGACACACGGCTGTTGTTGGAAAGTGTCCACATCAACACCCTCAGAGAAGCTTAATCCCCACTAGAGACCAATCTAAGGATTTGTTTGGCAACTGCTGTGCAACAATGTACGTTTATTGTCTAACAATAACTGTTAAGACATGTGTCCAACAGGAAGAGCTGATGGTCAGGCAATGTTTGTGAAAACGCTGGTAATAGAATAAAATGCATTACTGCTGCTGGCACACTGTTTATGGTAAACTGCTTAATACAAATTCTTAACTTAGTAAAAACATTTTTGGTGCCATGACTCTGTGTATACTTTCCCAATATATAACATATACTTCACTTAGCAGAAGGCAAAGAAACACAAGTTTCCAGACATTTGAGAAAGCCTATAATTCTTGGTTCAACCTGGAGAGACTACAAGAGACGAGATGCGTTTAAGAGTTGTTTATTTTATGGATTGAGTTTGTTTATTGGTTTGGAGCTTAGGCCCCGGCTGTGGCCGTGCTCTGAAGAGATCTGCGCCTGGGTGCAGATCATGATCCCCGAAAAGAGAGCTTGGCTAGCGATGCGTTTGCCACGACTTGGTTGCTGCGTTTATGGAAGGCGCATGGTGTGAGTGACTGTTTCCGTGCGCGAGCTCGGCTCTAGCGCTAGGCGTTGGCACGTGCACGAGCTCGGCTCAAGTGCGCGGCGTAATGTCCGTGCGCGAGCTCAGCTCTAGCGCTAGGCGTTGGCATGCGCACGAGCTCGGCTCAAGTGCGCGGCTTAATGTCCGGGCGCGAGCTCGGCTCTAGCGCTAGGCGTTGGCCCGCGCACGAGCTCGGCTCATGTGCGCGGCGTAATGTCCGTGCGCGAGCTCAGCTCTAGCGCTAGGCGTTGGCACGCGCACGAGCTCGGCTCGAGTGCGCGGCGTAATGTCCGTGCGCGAGCTCAGCTCTAGCGCTAGGCGTTGGCACGCGCACGAGCTCGGCTCGAGTGCGCGCCGTAATGTCCGGGCGCGAGCTCGGCTCTAGCGCTAGGCGTTGGCACGCGCTCGGCTCGAGTGCGCGGCGTAATGTCCGGGCGCGAGCTCGGCTCTAGCGCTAGGCGTTGGCACGTGCACGAGCTCGGCTCAAGTGCGCGGCGTAATGTCCGTGCGCGAGCTCAGCTCTAGCGCTAGGCGTTGGCACGCGCACGAGCTCGGCTCGAGTGCGCGTTGTAATGTCCGGGCGCGAGCTCGGCTCTAGCGCTAGGCGTTGGCACGCGCTCGGCTCGAGTGCGCGGCGTAATGTCCGTGCGCGAGCTCGGCTCTAGCGCTAGGCGTTGGCACGCGCACGAGCTCGGCTCGAGTGCGCGGCATGCTGGAATGAGGAGTTGCCACCACCAGGAGATGCATACGTACTGTTATAGAAGTTTCTATCCAAAGCAAGGAGCAAGCTCAAAAGTATTTGTCTTAATCAGGAGCGTAAGTTTATTGTACACACGTGCGGAGAGCTAACATATACAAAAGGCAGCATACACCAGCTCTGGCGCGCAGAGCTCAGGTTCCTGTTTACATAGACAACACATAAAGACAGTCACGCCCACAACAGATGGGAGGGGGCCACCAGTACAGGAGGCGCATAGGGAGCGTAGGCGCCATGCCCGTGGTGAGGCAATCAGACAGTGGCATGGAGGTGCAAACAGACAGACAATGGTCATGCAGGATGTAGAGAGGCAGGCATACAGATGCAAGATGCGAAAGGGACAGGGGTGAGACAGTGATTTGCATCATTGTCTGGCGGTGCGGGAAGGACTGGCTCCTTCCTGCAAGTTAGCTGGATAGAGCAGCAGGGGGGAGTGAGTTGGCGTCCCCGAGTCACAGGCAGATTGCCATCACACTCCTCTCCCGTGATAATGTAGAAACTCCAGTTTTACAGAGATCACATTCAGGTGGGTGAGTATTGACCTTGACCCCTGAGCAAAACAAGAGTTGTTGATGGGCAGGCTAGGCTGCCGTCACCCAAGCCTCTTGTATTACGAGGGTGTGGTCAAAGCTCTTCACTGTGATACCCTCCCCCTAAACTGTAGGCGAAACAAGTGGAAAAATAAAAACAAGGTAAACAAGAAAGAAAAACGTTAGACAAAGTCATCGTTCCGAATCGCTGATATAATCAGGATCGGAGTTCAGTGGGACAGCGGCCAGGTCCGCCTCGGGGTCTTTGTATTGAATGGACACAAAGTGAGTGGATACCATTTTACCAACGGCCCGAAACACCATAGGTAATACACATGAAAATAAAATCATAACAGTCAATAGGGCTAAACCAAGATTAATGAGCACACTCCGCCAGGAGGACAGGAGCCAGTCCTGACCGTGAGGAGTGTCCGTGACATTGTCCGCTTGCATGGCGTCCCGGAGTCTAGTCAGATTGGCTATGCCCTGTTGGATAAGACCTCCGTCCTCATCATTAGCCGGAATATATGTACAGCAGGATGACCCAATGATCGTGCATACGCCTCCCACAGACGCGGTCAGGTGGTCCAGGACCAGCCGGTCCTGAAGAACAACGGCACGTAGGTCGTGAAGTTCAACTCTCTGTGATTCAAGTATGGCCACTGTGGTATTGACAAAACCTGAGAACCTATAGCTCAGGGTCTCCGTCCTTAGCATTAGTTTACCTACACCCAGGCTGGGGAATAATGCTAACATTATTTTCTGGCCTGTGGTCCATAATTTGTGGTCATCGGGTACATTAGTGCCCCACAGGGGGTCGTCTCGGGATTCGGAGGCAGGGGAGTTGGGCAAAGGGGGTCGCCTCGGGAACGCTGGGATTCTCTGGGTGTTGTTGTTGGCCTGCTTCACCGACGGTGGTCGCACGCCGGCCGACCTCTTCAGCGTAGGGAGCCGCGGATGGGCCTGGTCCGTCCCCACCCTCGGTGTCCTCGTCTATGGCCCTCAGTGGCAGCACCGCACGACAGTGGTAACGGCAGTGTCCGTCACCAGGAGGACGAGGAATGGGCCTAGCCAGCGCTTGGACCGCCAATGTTGTCGTCTCGTTTCCTTCACCAGGACCCAGTCGCCTGGCTTGATCTTGTGCGGAGCCGCCTGCGCAGCCTGTGGCAGGGCGCTCCTGACCTGGGCAGAAATAGAGGGCAAAAGTGCATTAATTTCCTTACAATAGGACAGCATGTCGTCATCACACAAAGAGGTGCTTGGCAAATCTCTGGTCGGGGGTCCCGCGCCCAAGTTGGGTGGTCTGGCAAAGAGGATTTCGAATGGGCTTAGGTTTGACCCTGACCTGACTCTCATGCGCATGTACATGAGGGCTAGCGGCAGAGCTTTGATCCAAGACAGGTCTGTCTGTTCGCAGATTTTGACAAGTTTGTTTTTCAGAGTGCCATTCTCTCGCTCGCACGCGCCTCCACTCCAGGGGGCGTAACTGCAGTGTTTACGTATATCAATGCCCAGAAATTCACCTACTTCCTCAATGACTTTTGCTACAAAGTGACTGCCATTGTCACTAGAGATTTTTTCCGGGACACCCCATCGTGGCACAATTTCTGTGAGCAGAGCTTTCACCACCGCATTGCTCGTGGCGTGCTTACATGCAAATACTTCAGTCCATTTGGACCAGAGATCCACAAGAACCAGACAGTATTTCTTACCTTGGCATGGTGTGAGTTCAACAAAGTCCCTTTGGACATGTTGAAATGGGTGCAGGGGCGGAGGATGAGCAGCCTGTTGGATAATTTGGGACTTACCTGGGTTGTGCGCGAGGCAGATAGCGCATGTTTGGCAGAATCTCTGTGCAAATGCCGTAAACCCCTTTGTATACCAATTTTGTGTGATTAAATCACACATCCCTCCTTTTGAGGCATGGTCTCGGCCATGTGCTAAAATTGCAAAATGTCTGAAGAAATGCCGTGGTAAGCACGGTTTGCGGTCTGGTCCCAGCCACACACCATGCCGTCGTTGAGCCCCATTTCCTTCCCACAGCACTGTCTCTGCTGGAGTGGCCAGCGCCTGCATTGCTGACAGAGAGGAGAAAATATCAACGTCTTGAGTGAGGTAGTGTGTGTGTGTGAGTAGAGGTGCGTATGCCGCTGCCTTCGCCGCCTTGTCCGCGCGCCGATTCCCTGCAGAGATGGGGTCAGTGGCATTAGTGTGGGCCTGGCATTTGCATACAGCGATCTCTAAGGGCAACATTACAGCTTTCAGCAGACGTTCAACCTGTGTGGAATTAAGAATTGGTTTACCATCAGATTTCATGAAATTGCGGTGTTTCCACAGTGCCCCCCAGTCGTGCACCACAGAGAAACCATAGCGCGTATCACAGAATATGTTAACAGTTTTTCCCGCTGCCAGCTCACAAGCCCTGGTGAGGGCGACCAGTTCAGCGGTTTGTGCTGAATGGTGATGGGGCAAACTACCAGAGTCTATAGTATCAAAATCAGAACACACAGCATAGCCGACTCGGTTCTTCCCAGTGTTGTCACGTGACGCGGCTCCATCTGTATATAAAAAATCAAGTCAGGATTAGTCAGAGGTACCTCTTTCAGGTCTGGCCTGGGAGTGCACATCTGTTCTATTGTGGCGATACAGCAGTGTGCCTCCCC